CCTAGGACCCCCCCTTCTCCCCCCGATAATCCCTCGAAAAACCTCGCCGAAATCTTTTGACCATTATAACTCTTTTAATGTTTGGGTCACAGCACTGTAAATTAATCGAATTGATTCTGCTTTATCACAAGTAATAGGAGCAAAGAGGTAGCAAGATTTCGCTGACTCTACTCCGCAAATTTCCATGTGGGCTACACGGAATGTGGGACAATAAGCTTTATCCACCAGCAGATTGTCTCCCTGACCGAGCTTCTTCAATTAAATCATACCGATCTATCAGTCTTGAGAATTGCAAACACCAATTCAGAAGATTTAGGTAAGCGACACGACACAGAGAAACTGAAACTAAGGAAGCGAATACAGTCTCTGTATCTGCCGGAGTACGGAGAACTTGTGCGATTTCTTTAGTTCACCGACACAAATGGCAGAGGCTTCCTGCATGTGCATTAAAAGACTTCGTAGGAAAAAGGTAGGCAAGTCGTCGCTCCCCGAGAAAAATTTTAAACGGCATGCATACTGTATCGTGGTCGCAGCATGCCAGCGAAAGCCGATAGCAAGCAGTCGATTGTAACTCGTAGCTCTTTCATCTCTTTAAGCTCATTGATTTAACATTCTACCTCACGTTTTTGATAGGCATTAGTGTACTTAAGCATCCCCAACGCTTCACAGCAATTTCCATTCGATAAGAGTCTGATTGAGAATCAAAATAGCTCTGCTTCATTTGCATGCTCGTGCATTTTTTTTTGGCCCTCCAGAGCACTTTTCGAATCGAGTGCATGCTGCGATGAAGCTATCGTTGCTCGATACTGCTAGATAGAAAAATGCCAAGGTAATTGATTCTTGGATATGAAGATAGAATCACTCAATTGATTCATTGGTGATAGAAAGCGAAATAAGGAGCTCTTGGAAACCTGTACACACTATTCATTCACCAGCTCGTGCACGCAAACCCCCCTGCCAGCTGCACCAGTGACTGGTCCACTAACGTAACTTCATGGGTTTCTAAAGTAGATATCGCACACCTGCTGGAAAGTCAATCTAGTGAAATTGCTGTCAATCTAGTGAACTTGTTATCAACCTCGTGAAATTGCTGTCAATCTAGTGAAATTGCTGTCAATCTAGTAACATTGCATAGAACGTTCATGATGAATATGATGCTCATGATGTCCGTGGTCTTTGGAATTGGCTGTTATCTTTACATTTTTACAAAAAAGTTGATGCCTTGTTTCGCGTTATCACTGTGCTTTGACCATCGTACAAAGACACGTCTGCAACTTTCATATGGAATTCGAATTATTTTCTTCGAAAACGGAGACTGAACGCGCCCCTACTAGACAGTAGCGCAAAGCTATTTGTTTCCCGACTTTTCTTAAACTTCTACAAACATGTGTTCTAGACGGTACACACTCTTGATGCTGTTGCATGAGCACATGCCTGGTGATGATCTAGTAGCGGAAGTACTCGACGTAGCGAGACTCGTGCTGGCCGCGTTTTATGTCGGCATTTGCCACCGGAAGGCGTACCTGAGCGTGTTTTTTCCTGGCCTCCTTCCACAAATCCGCGGAGAAGTAGCCGCCTCCCACATTGTCTTCCATGTTGAGCTGCAGGAATTCTTTATTGGTCGGACGATCTGAGCTGGGCTCTTCTGTGCCGTCCGACTGCGAGGTGGACGAGTTGCCTTCTATTCCAAACACTCCGTAGTCCTCCTCGAAATCCGCCTGTTTACTTCCTCGCTGGGTCAGATAACGGTTGATATCGCGATCGTCTTGGTCAATAGCGCCCACCAAGCCGAGAAAGGGTTTCGGTGTTGCATTTGCGGCGGCCGACAACGGAGCATTTTTTTTGTCGTTGTTCACCCGTCTAGCAGAGTCGCGCATGCCAAACAGGTCGAACTCGGGCACGCCCATCCTCATTGAAGCCATGACTGTGTTGCCACCGCGAACCGACTGACCAGGGATATAGGTTGAATATTGACCCGGCTTTTCAATTTCGTCACTGCTGGTGCTTCCACTGTAGGAACTGGAATCCTCTATGATAAACGCCTGGTTCACAGTAAAAGCGTCACGGGCAGGAATGTACCTGAAAAGGAACGAAAGATGAAGCAACATTCTGATGTCTTGAGTATATAGCTCTACTAGTCTGCCCGCAACCTTTGGAGTTAGATGAAGCAAGCTAAATTCGCCAGAAACAAGTAGGTTGCAAAAGCCTCCAGAATGGAGAGTAGATTCTTATTCAGCGAGGAGTCTCGTGATTGCAGAAACGTATCGAAATCCTTGTTCGTTGTTTCAAACAAATTCTGATTGATTCAAATTAATCAAGTGGTACGCTCTCATCATGTCGCCCGCTGCCATCGCTTTCTTTCTTGCTCGTCGCTTCTGCTCTTCTTCCATGCGTTTTTTGGCCAGTATTTGAGCACCCCGCATTTCGTGTGCTATCTGTTTCATGCCCAGCAACTCGCCCTCTAATTTTGCGACCTCGGCATCGATTTTCTGGCGCGTAGCAATCTTCTCCCGTCTAAGTGCGGCGTCCTCAGACGGAAGGACCGCATGATAATGTCTCAATTGCACATCGTTCAACAGTGCGCGACCACGCTCCACGGCGCTCGGCACTCGCTTTCCAGGGGACGAACCAGCGAGAACTTTTTTGAGCACGGCAGCCTGACGAAGATACGACATTCGACAATGAAAGTGCATTATCCTGTAGTTCGCGGTAAGAAAGTCAATTTACCAAAGAAACCAATGGACTGTATGGTGATAAGATTTCTTGTTCTAGTAAGACTTCGTCATATCACTGATGCGTGTGCAGAATCACTGAGCAAATCCTCTTTCCACCAAAAGAGAGTACTTCATCTTTCTTCTGATCGCCCTCTTCGGCTGAAAATTCACTCCATGAGGAGTCTAGATCATCGTCGCGGCTTACGATAGCGCGATCACCAGCGAGGATGGCCTCTTGACTAGGTTCGACATGGTTAGGGTCCTTTGCGTCCAGCTTGCGTCGAGGAAAGAAGACCTCACGGTGTAACATTCCATGGTGCTGGTAACTTCCTCCTGCGCCTCCTCCAAGAGTTGTGCCCCCTGCTCCTCTGTGTTGTGGAGCCATGAGTCGTCTAACTGAGTCACCGGAGTCGTCTTCGAGATAAGCCCGCGGAAGCTCGATGATCCGGTTGAAAACGTTATTCTTCAACCAGTTGACACGGTCCTGCACTAGCATCTCGCTGACTGCGGTAACGGCTTTACGGTCTGTGCCCGTACTAATCTCCGCGGCATTCTTTTCTAGACCCTGACGAAGAATTTGTGAAAGAATCGCGTCATCGTTCTCGCTGTCCCCTCCTTTACTGCTAAATGGGTCTGCACTCTTTACACCCTGTAGGGCTAGGTTTACAACGCGCCGACGTATTCTCACCAACTGCAATCGTCCCGCCTCCAAGTCCGCGCGCCATGTCGCTAGATTGTGCCGTAGGCGTTTTCGCTGGCCACGCGAGAGCCGCTTTACCAGCTTGTGTGTGTCCGCCGCAGAGACCCTCTTTCCGTCGGCCATTTTCTCATCATTTTCGTTGTCATGGACGTACTCGACAGTCGCGAAATTTCCCAGTACACCATCGCGAATTTCATGTAAAACTTGAGCCTCTTCTCGCCACCGATCGTCAACCTCGATCGCTCGCAAGCGCGCGCCCTGATCACCCTGCTGTATCCTGCTTGCGTCAGATGGATTGCGCCACGGAGCGATGCTAAAGTGTGGTAGCGTGAACACTTGCAGGTCACTCGTCGCGAATGACGGTCCGCTGATGTTCGTCTGACTTTTGCCAGCTGTGCCTCCAACGGTAGGAGAGTTCCCTTGGTTCCTCTTTTCAAACTGCGCCATGACTCGAATGAGCTTCGGCTTGACACCAGAGGAATCTGCCCCGCCGCGTCGCAAAGCCGCTGGGATGGGTGCGACAATATCGGATATCACCTTCAGGCGCGCGCCTTTTCGGACGGCGCGCCGTGCTGGCGCAATGTCCAGATATGTCGCTTCGTCAAACACCATCGCCCGCAAATGGACAAACTCACCCGGCCGTGGTGCGTGCTCCGCTCGCGGAGCACGCTCTAGCCTTTCTGCCGGCACGAGCATTCGACGTACAAACCTAGTTGACCCGGTGCTGCCGGGTGCGAGCCCGCGTCGTCCGGTAACGAAGATTTCCGCATCGCAACTGCGGCGATTCACGATTGTGCCACTCACAAGATCACGTGTTGGGTGCTGCAGCAGACGGTGCAACCGCATCTCTAGTGGGTGCCGTCTCAGTTCCCGCTCCAAGGCCTGCACATGCTTGCTCTTCAGAGCGTCCGAGAGCAAGCCTGCAATTTCTCGTGTGGCTTTCACCGGATCCGCTTCCGTGTCCTCGTCTCCTGCCATAGTAGAGCGACTCAGCGCGCTTCTGGACGCACCAACCTGCTCAGGGGCCGGCAATGTGAGATGTACCTCCTCCAACAGCTCCAAATCTGATGGAGATGGGAGTATCCCGAGGCAGTTTTCGGCGATTCGACTGACACTAGAGGGCTCCAGCAATTCTACAGGTAGGACAAACACGCCATCCATCTCTCCCAGTGGCGCTGTCGCCAAATGTTCCCGCAGCAAGCGGTGGGTGGCGGCGCCGTCCCCGGCCGCATGTACTTGACCAGACACTCGCTGTGACCTACCAGCGTCCAGAATCCTAGTTTTCACTGCATCATCAGGTAAACCAACCTCAAGACGAGAGGCCCAACCAATACCAAATGCCGCGTCGGAAATATCAACATCAACATCGCTCTCGTCCTGGATAAGCGCATCAACAGCTGAGGCTCTCTTTCGTCTACCCATCTTTCTCTTTGCTGCGGGGCTCTTCCGTGTCTGGCTCGCTCGCGTTTGCAAGCTACGCGGTGCCACTACCAGTTTTCCTTTAGCGCAGACGCACACCTCTGCGAAAGCCCCAAGCACCCTCACAATAAAAATCTGAGAAGTCGGCACGGTGCGAAGCATGGTGCGCAGGGTTTCGACCACGGGCGCAAACACCACCGGCACAACTAATGTACGAAGCAGCGCTGTTTCGCCAGGTCGCGGCTTGCTAAACACTCGTTCCAAAACCGAAACTGGGACGCGCACCACTGGGTTGCTTTTGAGAATCTGCGAACGCTTCTGCTCATTCCCGACGTAGACCGTGCCGCCTCCTATAATTTCGCACTCCACAGTTTCGAGCTCGCCCTCCGCGAAGCTTTCTCTTCGACCTTCCGCGCCACTTTTGCTCTCTTCCTCGCTGGAGGTGTGGTCTGGATCGGTGGACAATACCGGCACGTCCTCTCGCAGTCGCAAGAGTGGAAATTTGGGAGCTAGCAACTCCTCCACAGTCATGCCTTCTCCGCTTAATCCCGCGGGCGCGTTTAGAACTGCTTTCTCTGCCAGTAAGGTATCACCCGCGTTCGCAGCGTCAGCAGTGGCGACACTTCGCAGCAGCGCAAAGTCACCAGCGCGAAGGCTCTCTACACCTACTGCAAACCGCGGCAGCAGCCACGAGCACGGAAGGTTGTAACGGTGTTCCTTCGTACCCGCATGGTGATAATCTAGTACACTGCCACGTGGCTCGTGGCTGCGGTGAATCGCGACCTCGGCTACGCCGTCCTGCGTGGCAACAACACGCATCGAGACCCGCGGATCCGAAGTAGCCATTGCTGTAACTTTCATCCACAGAGAATTCAGAGGAATGCTGCCTCCCCCTGCTGAGCCAGCGCCCGTAGCAGAAGCTGATCTGCCTGCCTGCGCCGCTCCACTGCCCGCACCTCCACCTGTGCCTGCAGCGTCATCTGGTGGAGGCTGCTCGTTCTCTGTTTTCAAGAGAACTACTGCTTCGTTGATTTCGAACAATGCCGCTCCGTAAGGAGAGAGCTTTCCCCTCACGGACAAAGGCGGAACTACCCTCGGTGTCTCCCCTAATTCATCCATCGCTCCTGTATGAAAAACTGGATCTTCTGCACGCTCCTGGGACGCGACTAGCTCGTCCGCTTCCTCCAAAAGATGGTCTTGGCTAGTTTCCTCGAAGTCCGATTCCTCCGTCCCTTCTCTGATAGGCGGTAAGACTTCGAGCTTTTTTGAACGCTTCTTGTTGCCGGATTTCTTTTTTCGTTCCTTTATTTCGGGGCGGCCGTCCCTTGCGGCCACATTCTCCTTAATCGCTGGCGCTAGAACAGCTTTCGGTTTTTCCAGAACAGGCTCCTGTGGCATTGAGATAGACCCGTACAGACGATGCGATGAAGATGACCCGGCACTATGGAATCCCAAGCCAAAAATGGGCGGCACTCTACCGTTTTTTGCACCCACAAGCGACTTTCCATACGAAGGAGTTGACTTACTGTTGGGCATGGGCTTGTCATCTGGCTCCGAGATGAAGAGCATCGGCACCCCTGATTCTTTCTCCGCTGCGAGCTCCGCAGACACTCTGGGCTCCACCGTCGGAGCAATCACAAACGGGCGACGCAATACACTATGACAGGCGTCGTTCTCGCGTTGTGTGCGCGTTGCAGCATCCGGCGTCTCCGCTTCGAGGACAAAAAGCGGCAGCTGCACCTGCTGCACACATTCGCCGCTCGCGTCATCGAAGACCCAAACTTCGGCTACAGCGGGAGCGAGAGGACCCCCCATTTCGGGTCTTGTCGTTTGGCATAGGACGAGGCGCTCATGGGAATAGGAACAGACTTCGTGCACGATGGCAAAAGAGTTTGGTACTACTATCGGACGAACTCGCACCGGTTCTCCAGGTTGTAAAGGGACGCGCAAGTGCGTGGGAACAAGCTCCTTCGGCTCCACGAAAATACTTGGAATGAGGGGAAAAAACGTTACTGCAGTGCTGACGTCTTTCGTGTCTAAAATCGACACCGCGGCCCGGCGGGTCAGGGCTTCCGCTTCGTCGCCCAGATTCTCGAGAAAGTGCTGAAACTCATTTTCTTCTTCATAGTCCGTTGTTGTTAAGCCACGCTGCTTCCGCACAGCTATTGCATTTAGGAGGACTTGCGACTTCGCGGCCAGTTCCGTTGCAACTGCTCGCACCCACAGCTGCGGTGAGACTGCCATCAGGTCCAAGCGGTGGCAACCATGCGCTACTGGAAATGCTTCCACGGCGCGCCGCCTCTTGGGCTCGCGTCTTCTGAGTGGCACCAGGATTGAGCCATCTTCCTCTACCATTTTGCGAATAGTCTCAATTTCCGGGTACTCGTAAGCGCTTACGGCAAAATCTCGTAGGCAGACTTCTTGAAATAGCCAGCTCTCCACCGCTCGCCCTGACGACGCTGCTGTCTGGCTATCAGTCCCTGCAGGATGAACAAGCTCAGCGGGCAACAGCGCACAGCGTTCCCTCTCTACACTACCGGAGAATTCAGGCAAGGCGTTGGCGTCATCGGCATCCTCACTCTTGCAAACCACTGGCTCCACACACAGATTGGAACCCACTCGACCAAGCAACACAAGCTTGACTGGCTCAGGACTAAGCAGTGCTGTCGGATTAGAACTCAAGTACCGCGTGTATATTCCCTCGCAAACTGGATCTACTGTGCTAGCTTGTCCCGCAAGAAACACTTCTGAACCTAGCGGAATATACGAAAATGTGGAAAAATGGTCGTCGTCGTGGTCTGCTCCACTTCTATTGTGTAGTTGCGTCTTTGTTGAATCCTGTGTGTTAGACCAGTGAGTCTTGAAATTTGAGTCCTCTTGTTCTCCGAAGAGTAGAGTCGCACACAGACTGTCAACCACAGACTTTGAGGACTTTCCTCTGGAAGACGAAGCAGTTCCTCGTCCTCCACGTGCAACTCCTTCGTCTAGCTGCTGTCGAACTGCGACGACCTCTCGCGGAACCACTTCACTCGCGACAACGATTGTGGGGACTCGAAGCTCGGCGGACGACAAGGGCTCTTGCGGATGCTCCCACAGGTCTTCTCTCCGTGGCGCTCGTCGCAAAGCCACCACGACGACGCGATCGCTCCTCTTGTTGCGGGCTTCCTGCTCCGAGATGAAGAGCCGGTCCCCTCTTGCCTGTAACATATGCAATCTCTCGACGGCAGGAGCATACGCGTTGTAGGTGACCACATCGCGCAGAAGAACTGGTATTCGCGCTTGTGTCAGCGACGGGTCAAACTCCATGCTGTCTGCGTCTGAGCTATCGTCAGAAACATCCGTCGTGGAAGGATCTGAGCCGCCAGAGCTAGTCGTGTCACTCAGGAAAGCGTCAATGATAGCCGTCTCAGCATTTTTCTTACCCTTCCGGCCGTTGGGCTTTTTTCCATCACTATCTCTCGTTGCAGACGACTTGCGGACGCGTCCCAACTTCATAACTGATTTTTTCGAAACGTTGGTTACGCGCGAAGCGCCTTTCTTGGCTGCCGGCTTCGTCTTGCGAGACTCCTCTGCTCTCTTCTTTTTGATCTTATTTTCTGCCACGATATCCTTGATACCATGATCGTCCATCATGCGCTTGTAGTCCACCGCGTCATCCTCAAAGGCCTCCAGTAAATCTGCAGACACGCGCGCTCGCTCAAGAGGCAGGCCATCTACGTCCAGCAACATAAGGTCCACTAGCGTGTTCGAAGACCTGACAGTCACGCTGTGGACTACGACTCGTGCCCGCGGGACGGACCGCACGAAGTCACACAACTTGATATACTCGAGATCGGAGAAGTAGCTTCTTGGCTCCACGTTGCGCACTGCAACACGTTGCCGACGATGAAACAGTTCGTCCAGCCCTCGATGCGGTCGGTGCGGAAGGTGTAGCAGGTGGGGTGGAGCGAAGAAGGTTTGCTTCAGCTCTGTTGGCATATTGGATGAGCTTTTGTTTGAGATGCCATCCATAACGCGCAATCCTACCCGCCTTTCGTGCACAGCCTCGACGCGCACAGACATGAGGTGTCTCTCGGCTCGCCGGAGCTGGGATGCGCGCTCGCGAAGTACGTCGAGCAGGGCTGAGCAGGCGGCGGATCGACGGCCTCGAAAGAAGGGCTTCAGGTACACTCGACTACGGTACGGAAACGCCGCAAGAAGAATCCGCATTGACAAAAAGTCAACAACTGTCCGATCTGCTTCGCCAAGTACACCAGGTGGAGTTGTTCTGATAGCAAGTGCCTGCGACTCTCGTGCGCCGGCTCCTTGGCTCGTCGTCTTACTTGAGCCTCTCATAGTTGTTCTGGTGGGAGACAGCCCTGTCGCGGGTCTTCGGCGTGATTTTTTCGATACTTTTTGTACAACAACTGCTTCTCCTTTTATTTTCACCTCTTCTCCTGCGGTATCAGAATCGCTCCCGAGAACATCAGTGAGCATCTTCGCATCAGTGGCGTGGTTCATGCTCGCGACTGTTCGGGTGAATAAGTTGTATTCCACGAAGCACGTTGGAATATCCACAGTTTCGTATAACTGGCCTTTTGAGAGCACACCGACTTTGACCATATTCCCGTTCCTTTCCAAAAGCATTGTATGCGCTGCCAGTCGTAGCGTTTTCATGGCAATTGCCCACAGATCGGTCTCCAGCACGTCCCTTACCGCCACCGATTGGCCCGGTTCCAGATCTCGACCGGTTGTGTCGCAAACCTCAACGAAGCTCACAGGAACCCAGAAAAAGGACTGGTTAGCGAGATCATCTTCATCTGTCGCAGCTTCGCCCGAAGGCAGGTCGTCAGTGTAGAGCAACAGCCAGTGTCCTCCGGCGCCAACGTGGACGACGGAACACACTCCGCCGCGGCGAACGTAGGCTTTCAGCCGAGCGGGAACGCTTTCCGAATGCCCTCCCAAATTCTGCAATGCTGATCGCAGAAGCACTGCATCCCCCGGCAAGAAGGTGTACCGTGGCCTCTCGAAAAGCGCCGTTGTGGGAAGAACATCTTCGGGCTGTCCGCAGCGAAATTGCTGAGCCGCTAGGACCTCGTCGCGTACGAAAATTCCGGTGGTCAGCGTCTCAAGCTGATCCGTCGAGGAAGACAGAGTGGGAAAGCGACCAAGTGCTGGTGAAACTACAACTCGAGGTAAAAGCACTGCCTGGGCCATGCTGTGACTCTTAACGTCGACCAACGCGGCAACGATATGATCTGGTGACAAAGCATAGAGAAACCGCACATCTGGAAACGCATCTGACTGTGCAGCAAGCACTCTTGCAGCATCACTGTGAAGATCTAGAAGCGTTCCGGGACGCATGTGATGCAACATCACCTGCCGAGCCAGAGCAGTTGCCGAACTTTGGTCCTGTTTACCTCCGCTACCCTCGTCCTCCCTTACTACGCTAGTGCCAGAAGATGTTACCAGGGCTGTACCCCCGTCACCTCCGCCAAAAATTCCTGGAGCGAGGGGAGCGACATAAGCTGCCGGCACACGCATGCCACGCACAAAAGAACCGCGACGCCACACTTCTACGCATAGAACAGGACCGGGAATGCCGATATATTCACCCGACTCCTCATCAGCTTCCTCCTGCAGCATGTCGCCGAAGAGTGAGGCACGCGCAACTTCAACATTCTCCTCTTCACCTCCGTCGAGAGGAGTGGTGGCTAAATCAGGATCCGCGTCTTGCGCAAGCATCTGGCTCACCGTAGCACGTACGGACTCCATCTTCACGCTCGCCGCGTTCGAGGCCTTACTCCGTCTTTCTGAGACGCGAGAGCTCTTCCGCGATGCCTCGCTCTTTCGCGCACTCTTCTTTGAGCCCGCTGTTGTTGAGGCATCAGCACCAGGTTGTCGCTTCGTAGACTTACTTTTCTTCGATTCGCGGCTGCTGGTTTGAGAAATTGAGTTTTTGAAACTCTTCCGCGATTGCGCTTCTCTAGTCCATCGAGATACGGTCGAGCGTGTGCGTCCAGTTTCGTCTAGACTGGGGACTGCGCGGATCACCGCGCCACCTTCAACGGCATCCCACAGGAAGTGGATTCGCCGGCGATACATGTTGGCAGGAATCACATCGCGAAGTTGCACAGCGGTGCGTTGCGTTGCCAAAACACTTGCTTGCACCTGCACGAGGGGCTCTACCCACATGGCGGGAAGAGACATCACTGAGCCGCCCTTAATGCCACCCCCCTTTGAGACGGTATCGCTGCCCTCGCCGAGCCCATCACCACTAGTCGACAGCTGAACGCGAATGCCTCCCGCGGCCCACCCCGCGTCCACAATGCCAATGCAACGGACGGCGGCTCCAGTTCGCACGGCTGCTCTGACGGACTCCGCAGTAGCCACATCCGCATGTATCCCCTCCATCGACTGATCGGCTTCTCCTTTCGATCGGGACGCGCACCGCGATCCGGACGCCCGTTCCGGAGGAACCGCTGACAAGGCAGATGCCCTAACCGAAGCGGACACAGCCAAATCGACGTCCGCCCCCGCCTCATGCCGCGCAATGGCGGGCTCGTGCAACTGGACGCGGTCACCTATCCCAACGGGCCGATCCGCTACTAGAACTGGGTCGAAATGCGTCACCCAATCTGCAGGAACTGTATGCTTGCGCTCGGCTGCGAGCATCAAACCGGCGGCCGTACCACTATAGGTCCACTCGTCACGACTATGAGAGTAGCGAGCCTGAGGCTCACCCGCTTTCTTGCTCGCACGATACTCTGAAATTCTTTGATTTAGCGCATATGGAAGGATTGTTACAAAATTTCCTTCCTCACCCCGATTAGAAAAGTGCTGCTCAACGCCAGTTGCACTTGATGCTGTTTCTGTTCCAGCCTTATTGCTACTTCCGGCGGCTGACCTTGCTTCCTCGTCCGCTTCCACTAACTGGAAAACGTAGCCCTCCTCCGCCAGAGCCAGAAGTTGTGTTTTCAATTCTGCGTACTTCTGATCGTCTTCAGACTGCGCGTGCGCCATTGCCGTAGTACTGTCGTCCCAGTACCCTTCGTGGTATTCGTAGTGCGCGTAATGGTAGTCTTCTGAGTAGTGTACGGACTCGTCTCCCGCTTCGTATGACTCAGCATGCATTTCCTCGTGGTGGTCATGGCCGTAGTGGAAAATGTCACCCCGCAACAGTACCAAATCCGGAAAATGCTGTAGCTCCTCGCTGACACGAGATATGTGCTCAGTTTTTCTTTGTTCGCTCAGGGGTGCATCCGCATCAAGAATCTCCAGCGAAGTCTTTCCGTCTACCGTGAGTCTTTCTTTTGGTTCCACCACAATGGGTCTTCGCTCCGGTCGGAGGTACATACACGGCAGCACGATGGGACGGTCTAAAATGAGTTTTGCGTTTTGGAAAAGCGCTAAAACGGCGAGTGGCCCCGCAGCATGGGCCGAGTCGTGCACGATTCGGACCACAAGGAGACAAATATCATTCCGAGCCGCCTTTACTTTGCCTGCCCCCTTGCCAGTCTCGGCGTCCACTTCCTCGCTGTCGGCTGCTGCGCCACGGTGACGTGCTGGAATGGCGTTCACCGCCTTCGCGTTTGCGAGCTTTTCTATCAAGAATCGCATATCGGGCTCGAACGCGGATGTCACGGCCACCTCGCGGGGCACGACGCGCGTATTCTGCGCAATACAGAGGGCACGTGAGAAGTAGTACTGTTCCACGACCAGCCTTTCCCGCGCAGCGAACCTCCGCTGTTCTTCTTCAATAGCTAAAGTCGTGCTTTCAACATCTCGTTGGAGACGCGCAACTCGGTCCTCCTCCGTTTCATCCTCTTCCTCAGAGTCATGCACACGAGATGAGGCGGGGCTGTCGCCAAATGTTGTCCTCTGGATCTTGTCACCCACGTCGTGGTAATGGGAATGCACACCAGCGGCGAGAACGCGCAAATGATTTTTCAAGTTCATTACCTTCTGCCTTACTCTAGCAGCGCCTTTGCGGTAGCGTTTCATGAAATCGAGAACGTCTGCATCATCGTAAACCGGAACGATGTGATTTCGGTTCACCACGAACGCGGCCTTGTGTTCAAGTTCTTCGCTCAGATGCTTGCCCAACACCTTCGCAATTTCTTTTCTCGAAGCGAAGACAATAGCTGATGGATCGTCTAGTTTTCTCTTGACAGGCCACAACGACACAAAATTTTTGCCCGGAAGAACAGCAACGTCACGATTTTCTCCGGTCGACACTTGCGCATCACCCACGCCAGACGACCGCGTGCTACTTCGGTTTGATGCCCTCTTTGACAGTTTCCTCCCTAATTTTCGCGACTTACGATCAAGGTAACTCGGACGCTTGGGGAGCTTTCTCAATTCAGTACCCGCCTCTTCGTCTTCAAAAGGAGAAGTAGATGCTTCCGAGTCTGAGGATGGATTCTTATCTTCCGGCGATGTCACCTCCGAGGAACCCTCTGTGAAGGTGCCCGCCTCGCCCCCGACACCTACGTCAGGCGAGGCGTCGTCTCCATCCATGCCTTCCCCCTCGGCGCCGCGGACAAAGGACCCACCAGTTCGCATTTCTCCAACTCCATCCGGCGCAGAAAGTCCTGTTGCGTCGTCCAGCATAGCAAAAGCTTCTGCAAGGGCCACCTCGTCCTGTACGTTTTCTGGTGCCGCATCGCGAACGCCGCGAACCGCCAGCTCAAACCCAGCCCCCACAAGCTGCTTCAGTGATCGAAAATCGTTCGTGCCTGGATCACTTGCATCAACGATGACGTCGCGAAGCAGGACAAAAGGAATTAAGACACTGAACGCGCCATCCTCGTCGTCATCATTCAACTTCATGCCATCTTTATTTTCCTCAGTCTCTATTTTTAGAGCTGAAAGTGATTCATCTTCTCCGCTCATTCCCTCAGAATCCGATTCCAAAGAGGACACTGAGACAATTGATCTGCGAAGACGAACTATTGTGGCCCTTAACTCTAGAAATGCACTTCCCGTGGAACCGTCGTTCTCCGGAAGTAGTTCCACGTCGTCCTCTCGTATGTCGAACTGACTCGGGTCATCGTAACCATCATCCGGGTCATCTTCGGGATAAAACATTATCCTCGTCATGGCTTCGCCATTCTTGAAATCCTCCGAGGACCTCCCGCTGCCGCCTCGGGAAGAATCTCGTGACTTGTTCAGCTGACTTTTTTCTCTGGAACGGATAGATCTAGTCCCGTTCGGCCTACTACCATGTGTACTGCTAGGTCTAGTGCTGCCTGTGCCAGCTCCCGCAGCCTCTGCGAGCGTCAAAGAAGATTGAGAGTAGTCACTAGCGTGACCTGCTGCGTCAGACGACTCAGGTGGCTTCGTTGATTTTTTCATTGGTCGCTGCGAGGGACTACGGCCAGATTTCCGCTCCGTACCGCTTCGCCGGCTCTTTCGGAACATATTGCCAAACCCCGGTGCAACAAGGTAGTTCTCATCCTCTTTATTACTCGTCTCATCCGCTGCAGCATCCTCTGTAATGGGCTTACCAAGGGTCGCCACAACGGAGGGGCCACCTAACGTAGTGGTCGTGCGCGTCGCGCGTGAATCAAGGCTTTGGCTCGCGAACCTTGATCTCTTCCGCGCTGTCGTTCTCGAATCTGACGACGCTCGTCCTGATCCATCGCTTTTGTCCGACCGGCTAGTTCTCGGCGTGCTAGTGGCATTGCCAGCGATGCTGCGCTTCCCAAGTGTTGTTGATACCTTCTGCTTCGCAAACTCGGTCACCTCAGCCTCACCTGCTTCGAGTGTGTATTCAATTGGTTGCGTGACTACCGTAATCGCGGATGCATTTCGTCGCGTCGCTCCGAAAAATTGATTTGTTCCTCGTTTGGTCACCATGCTAGACTTTCTACCGACCACAAAGGCTCCTCCTGCATTCATGCTCCTCTTTGACTGCGACTTCCTGCTTGCCGTGCCTGCTCCCGGAGCAACCCGCGAAGATGCACGGTCAACATCATCCTGGGAAAATGCTCGACCTCCTGGAAGCACAGTAGAAGTCTGACGCTTCTTAACACCAATAGCTTCTTGCTCGTCGGGAATCATGTCTTCGTCTTCTCGATTTTCCAAATCCCCGTCATCGATGCCATCCTCCATCTCGTCGACATACTGAATTAGACCTAATTCCCGTTCGGCCTCGACATGCGCCAGAAACCGTTGGGGAAGGTCGTACCTCGCAAGGCGTTTTTGCGTTCGCGAGTCTATCAGATGTACCCGCAAAGTGCCACTCCGAGAGAGCTTGCCATTCGCTATTGTCAATTCTGCTGAAGTATGCGGGTACGCATTATGGATTTGGTGCACCAGGTGAACTAAATTTGCAGTAGCAAGCCTTTCCTGAATTTTCTTGCGCCGCGCGACCTTCCCGTCCGCTGTGAGTGGTGCTTTCTTTGAACTGCGTCGCCGCGATTTTCGCGGGTCGACTCCCTTGGATGAACCGCTGCTATCCGAGGTCCCTCCCACGGATTGAGGGGAGCGCCCATCGCTGTCCGAGGCTTCGGAAAAAGACGCTTCTCTCTCTGTGAACAACGAGCTCTCCCACTCGTGGAGGGCTTGCTGCTTCAGGAAGACAAGGTCGCCGCGGCGAAAGGGCAACGGCTGACCCAATGCTAGCAAAGCTCCGCGTCCCGAAGATGAGTCAGGTCCGGTTAACAGTATTGTCGATTCGACGTCAGAAGGAACTTCCCCATCGAGTTCTCCCTTCTCCTCTACTCCAATATCGTGTTCGTCGTGATGAGGAAAAAACTCGGATTTCAACTTTGCCAGCAATCCCTCCTTACCTAGAAGGTCCCATGCAACCTTGTCAGAGTATAAAGCCTCTAGTGCCGCATCCGACCCGTTGTCTGACCCACCAGCACGCAAAAAACGCCGCATTCGTACCTGTCCGATGCGGGTCAGTGCCTCCTGCCACACCTCAGCAAACTTGCGAGTTCGTTTGCGTCTCACGGGGCTCTCCACCTGCTCTCTTAGTGCTGCTTCTGAAAGCAGTGCGGGGTCGGCGTTGTACGACGTCGGACCCAGCAACTCAGCAACCGCACCAGCGAGGCTCTCTTCGTCAGATAGTGCCTCGTTTGAAGCAAAGATGCTGCCTTTGCTGCTGCCACGAGATAACTCCCACGCAGTTTTATCCGTGTCGCCAGAGGTACCTTTGCGCAACTGTTCCAGTAGCTCATGCGCGTCAGGAGCGTAGTACTTTCCTGTGTGGATGTTGTGCGCCAATGTGAACCGTTGGTAGAGAGCAAAGAACTTGCGATTCGCTATTTGCTCGCTCTCGTCTGTTGGGCCTTTTCCAAGAAGCTCCAGCACCTTTCCGACACCCGATTTGCGGGTTACAGATGTCCTGCCGTCCCCGAAAACTCCTGGCTCCCAGCTTGTCCTTGCAACACTACTCACTCCATCGAATAGAAGCGGTAGGTTGATCACAGAGTCCCTCGATTGGTGGCCAGGAGACGAGGAACTTGACAAACCGCGACGTTTGTCATCGACACTTGGCGAGCCATCGAGGATGGGCAATGCCCCTCGCCTCGCCCGGCCAGAGGCGAAGTGGCCAGAGAAATACTCGTTAAGAAAGCTGTCGTCTGCATCCCGTTGTCGTGAGTCTCGTCCCTGTGCCCGAGCCAGCACGGCAGAAGCCATGTTGCGAACACTCGCGGCGATCCTCTTCTGCCGCGTGGCCTCATCTGGGTCCAACTCGCTTTGCTGAATCCGGTCTTTCAATTTCGGCCCCACCCTTTGCAGAAACGCTACAAATTTTTTGTCGGAAGAGTCAAAGAACCCGGACCCTACGTGAGCTCCGCCTTGCTGCAGCCCTCGACGATCAACGCTTCGCAGCGTCTCGTCGTCGATCAACGAGGCCTTGCGCAAAGTAAGAACATTAGGGTCCTTCTCCTCTCCGAGCTCACGAAGCACGTCCTTCGGAACGTTCAAGCTTTTAGCGAGTCGCGACATCAATTCCGTTTGTTCTTCTTGCATCATCGAGGATTTTTTAAGTGCTGGTGAGGGTGACTGTGATCCGCGTCCTTCTCGTGTGCCACTCGTTCTCGTTGCGTATTCCCGTTGTCTCAAAGAGGGCGAGCGCGCAGGCGAACCATTCTTGCCGGCACGAGAAGGCGATTGTCCCTCCGTGGGAGAGGCACTGTCTCCTTCCTTATCCCGCTTTGCAGATGATCTTCTGGAGGCTCTTCTCCGCCCACTCTGATTTTCACGCAAGGCTGAATCGAGTGTCGGGTCCGACTTGGAGATGTAGGCGAGCAACGTTCCGGACGGCCGGCCTTCCTCTTTTTCAGCTGGCTGATCCAGCGGTCGCACAGACACTGCCGTGGTGGGCAACATCGAATCCAAACTCGCCCGTCCACCCTGATCATCTTCTCGCATTCCATCCAGCACAGACGGTGAACGGGTAGAATTTCCGCGTAGCGAACTTCTACTTGTTGCTACAGCTCCATGCTCGTCGAGCTCCTCCTGATCAGGCCGCGCGCTGCCCGTGAGATTCGCCATTTCTTTTTCCATCGCTTGCTCGATCGCTTCTAACTCGGCGATTTCTCGTGCAATGAGGTCTGGTGGAAGAATGGAAACGTGGTCGCCGTCGCTCGCTGGGTTTTGCAAGAAGTTCTTCACCGCGGCCACATCCTCCGCCGGCGAGCTTGGCAAAGCGCAGAGGTCGAACCGCTTCCGCGAGGAAACAAACAGAAGGCGGATTTTCTCCCCCAGCACTTCGTTTTTCAACTTCGAAATCACGGCTGGCGAACTGTACAGTGGCCGCGCTGGTTCCGCGGGATACATTCGCACGGGTTTCATTTGCGGCAGCATTGCAGTGTCCTGCAAATCCTTCAAGGTAGCGTGTGAAAGCAGCGTCTTCAGGCCGTACTTCGCGTGCAGATCCGAAGAAGATGCGACTCCAATTGTCGAACGACCTCTACGTGTACGAGTGGCTCCAACGGCCGTCGTGGGTCCAAATCTGTTGCGACACATTACTGCATCGTGAATGACCGTTCCGTCCTCCGGAAACAGAAGGTGGAACTCGTCCAGGAAACTGAAAAGGCTAGCAGCCCTTTCCCGACGGCGTAGGTACGCTGTGAGCTTTGGCGGCAAGACCTGCAGAACTTCATCCAGTGCGTCCCGCAAGACAACGCCTTTGGCATGCAGATATTCGACTAAAAAGTTCATGGCGTGAATCGCGTCTACCAGAAGCAAATCTACGCCGGTCTCAGTCACGCCGGCTGACATCGCGTCCGCCGCCCGCCCCCCAGGCGAGTTTGGAGGTGACGCGTCTGAGGGTGAATGTTCACCTCCGGCAGCAACACTGCCCGCTGTACTCGTGATGGCACGAGGTCGAGTTCCTTCATTCGGAGAAGAAGGGTGTTGATCAGTGGCATCTTTATCCCGAGTGCTCGGCGACTCGAGGCCACTGCGTAAATTAGTTCGCACAGTGGCGAGTTTCTTTGCGACGGTGCGTAACTTCGCGTATACGACCTGCTTCACACGGAGAAAAAAATCACCCTCTTCTTTACACGCAAAAAGAATCGCCAGAACATCTTCGATCTCCACTTTATCGTCACTCGTTGTGTAGCCACCGCGGCCCACGCGATCGAAGATGTGCGAAGCAAATTTCTTACCACCCGGAGCCTGCCCATTCAAATCGAGCAAATCTACAAAGTCTTCATCGATGAAGCGGGACTGCACGTGTCCGTCGTCGTCACGGCCAACGATCAATTCGTCAACCTCGCCCTCTGACGAGGACGAGGAGAGGTCCTCGCCGTCTAGTAGACGTTGTGCTCGCTTGCGCGCCTTTCTGTGTTTTTTCTCGCTAACCGGTCGTGGCATACATGTACTCATCTCGCTGTCCATTTCGTCCAATGAGCCCACAGGATCAAGAGGGCTTGCGCGCTCAGAAATGCGCTTCAACTTTGCTCGCATTTCCTCCGCAACAGTGTGGGACGGTCGCAGTCGGCCAGTCACGGGGTCAACAAGATTTTCTTGATGCAGAACAGAAAACACACCTAGTTCTGGCGGGTTCGAGGACTGCTCGTCTGCGTTTCGCTTGCGATCAAGTCCAGAAAGCGCCTCGGCAGAAAGTTTTGCGTTCTCTTTCTCCTCCATCCGCTTCTGTCGCGCACCTTTTCTGTTTCCAGCAGAGGGAACCACGCCGCGCAGCTCGTCAAGAATCTCATCCAATAAACGACTCTCCAGACGTGTTTTCAAGGAGTTTGGATCCCCACCGTGTAAATCCGCATGCTCGTTCACGTCCTCTGGCGATTTTCCGTCGTGTATGCTAAGAATCATGGCCTTCTGCGCGCGCTTGAATTCGAAGCGACTTCCTTCCTCGGAAAGCAAGGCCTTCAGACACTCCGCCACTACGACGAAGTCTTCTCCTTTCTCAAAGAGAGGCAGCGACGTCCACGTAGTGCAATCGGAAACCTCTTTCTCGGTCAGCAGAAAATGATGCGTGATAGCGTGACGCAAGGGACTAGCTGAGAGAAACTGCAACTGCAACAACGGGTTCTCGAGAGGGCAGATCTCTGCAAAGGCCAGGTAGTTGTGGAGGGCAGTGATGTGCGGCTGGTATTCCGTCGCTGGGATCACAAGGCTCGCACATCTCTCAATCACCTCGAGGGCACTGATCACTCGACGCTGCTCGCGTGGGCTGAGACCTAGCAACAATATTCGGCCTGCACCGTAGCCCAGTGCAGCAGAACACTCTGTCGCATTCGCCTCGGCAAATTGACTCTGATCACTGGCCGAGACGCTCCTATCAATCCTGCCCAATGCTCTACTCGTCCGCCCGACGACGCCTGCTTCGTTCCGTTGGTTATCGCGGACAAGCCTCTCAAGCATCTCCATGGCAGCGCTGCGATCGTCTTGTGCAATGGGCGGACCAGGCGGCGGCAACAGTGTCGCCTTCAGAACGTTAATTGCGTTCAGCAACTCGTCTCGCGCAATCGGGTTGTCCGGCGCGAAAGAGCAGGTCAGAAACTGACCGTCCGGGGACTCTAAGCGACAGCGAAACCTCTGCACAAAGTAGTCGAACGCCTCACGCACTGCACGGCCCCAAACCTGGTGCAGCCTTGTGAAATCCTGCCGCGTCGACGAGAACATGTCTAGGTGGTCATCGACACTATCCAACTCTTCATGCTCCTGAAGTCCATCTAGGACGGCCAGACGTTCCTGGAGCAAATGGTTCGTGCTACTCAACCCAGGTCCGTCATCTCCTTGCTCCGGGTCGAAAACAAGAAGCTCGCGAGTACGGCTTCGCAGCCGGCCTAGCAACCGCCGCAAAAACTTACTTCCATCATGCTTCACGCTTTTCTTGGATCCGCGGCCGCCACTTGTCTTCGCACCTGCGGAAGATGCCCCCGGTAAGAAAGATGCTGAGTCTTCTTCGTCTTGCTGCCCATACGCTTTTGTTTCCCGATTCGTCGGTCGCAAGGGAACATCCGGAACGGAGCGCCGCAAGGCGAAGTTGCGCACGACTTCTAACGACGACCGCAGAGCAACGGATTGCGACGATGCATTCCAAATGCCATCCAACGCAGCAGTCACGACTTCAACGTGCATTGCTGCCGATGAAGCTGCACTACTTATTCCTTTGTCCGTTGTACTGGTACGCTCTGCCAATCCAGACGAAGAACCGCCTTGCTCGAACAAATGCTTTTCGTCGCGCTCACGAACTACGGTTTGCAAGGAGGAGAAAGCGTCTTTGAGGATTTCTGAATTCTCACTCTCCTGGACCTCTTTGTTCAACGTCACGAAAGCTTCCTGAAGGCTAGCCGTTGACGGTGCAGGCCGGTCAACGCCACCAGTCACCGCAAAGCTTCCACCGTTCAGGGACTGCAAGAGCGTTTCACGCGCCTCTGCGATCTTGTCGTCTCGTGAGCTCTCCACGCGGCCAGCAGATTTTTTGCTTGTGTTACTGCTGGAAGACTTTGCTCCCTGGGCACTCGACTTTCTGCTTCGTACGGACTTTCTTCTGCCTATTCCCCCACCTGGGGCAGAGGGATCCTCATCCTGCGACTGAAAGGCGTCATCTTTCGAGCGCGCATCCGCTTGTGCGCTCAAAGCAAGAAAGCGCACTTCCTGTTCGCGAAACGCCGCAAGTGATGCGTTCAACACCTCCGCACGGCGGAAAAGCTCGCCATCAAGTGCGTCCGAAGCTTCATTTCGAGCCACCTCAAGTGTTTTCTGAACATTTGCCATGATTCCCTGCAAGATCTTCAGTTCGAGTTCCTTCTCCTTCCGCGTCACGTAGGCGCTCCTGTTGGAAGTTTCTGCGCCTGGTGCAACTGATGGGCGCATCGAAAACAGCGGTTGACGCGACTCCAGACCGCTTCGCCGCGTTCCGCTGGCGCCTGCGGCTAGCACAGACGGCGCCGACTTGTCATTCCCAAGTTTCGCCGTGTTGGTAGCTGTCACCTCGACTTCGTACGACTGCAGGGTTCTCTGCCAATCAGCCAGAAGCTTGGGGAGTTCCGTCTCTAGCTGAGCGATTTTGCTAGTGGCTTCTCGCTGCTGCTGACTTTTTCTATTCTTACGCGCCGGAATCGCTGAAGCCTTTTTTGATGAACGGCGGCCCTGAGTGATATCCCTATCCATTCCACCCTGCTTCGTCGATAGACGCGTCAATTGATCCACCCGACCAGGCGCCGGCGTCGCATGTATGCGCCCCTGCTTGCTCGTGCCCGCTTTCGCACCTGCTCCTAATTCTTTAGAAGGCCTGCGTGATCCCGGAGGCGAAAGACTTGCGTCTGCTGACGCTGGCAATCGTGCAACGTCATCATCGTCGGTGTCTACATGCGAAGCCCTCTTAGCACCAGAAAATGACTTTTTTCCTCTATCCCGCTTGCTGGCGCCTGGTGGCACGAGTGGGTTCATGTGATCCGGAACGCCCTGACTTCTTGTTGAGCCATCATCTTCATTCAAAGTCGATTTTTCTTCAGAGCCGTCTTTCGTCGAAGCGTCTTCGTCAGATTTTGATTTTCGTTTCTTTTGTGGCTTGCCGATGGTCATGATGTTCGCGATCCCGGCAAGCAATTCTGCATCGAAATCGCCTACAGACTGGCTTTTTGTCGAACGTGCGACTTGTCCTGGTCCTGCGCCCAAATGCTCTAAGTGCTGGTCGGGTAGGTCCTCAGCGTCCTCTTTGTTCATTAATTTTCTGGTTCTTTCTCTCGCTTCCAAACCTTGCTCGAGCAGCTCTCGCGCAGTTGGGCCTTGACCCTCAAAGGACGGTCGCTCACCACTGGTGGTGTTTTTCTGCCGCATTCTCCTCGAGGCCGGCCTCTTGGACTTCCGTGTCCCGGAAGCGTCACCCTCACGTGCATCTCCATCTTCTTTGGTCAAGACGACTGATGACGGAGTGCCACGAATCAACGCACCAAGCTGCTTTCGACCGGACGATGTGCTCGACTCCTTTGAGCCAGTCCGACTTGTAGCTTCTCGCCCGTCACTGGTCTTCTGTCGTTCCCGGCTTGTGCTGTTTTCCCTTCCGGATGGCCGCGTGGTTGTCCTCTTCCGCGCAGTTTGCCTTTTCGAGGGACGCGCCACCGGGTTGTCATCGTCAGCGCGCGGCTCGGACGCTGGATCACTAGCGTCTCTTTCCACATAATTCGGGAAGACCCTAAGGAAGGTATTCGGCGAGACAGCAACTGCACTGGAGCGCGAAGTCGGCTTTGGAGTGCCAGCAACGCTTTGGATCCTACTTTGCACACGCGATCGTCTCGTGCTTCCCGCAGGAAGCGCAGTGGCACTATCCTCCTTCGGCATGCTCGTACGTTTCGAAGATCTATACACCGGCTCGTTTTAAAAATTCGGCGATGCTTAGCCCGCTAAGATGCGCCGCAGCAACACTAACCTAACTGAGGACGCAGCCGCTTAGACTTTCTACGCATGCACCATTCAGTTTGCTATAAGTCACAGTTCATTGGGCTTAATATCCAACTTCAGTCCTTGGCGAGGAAAATTATCTGCCCTTTATTTTAAAGATTTGCCTAGTAATTGCACATACTTTCAGATGTCGAATACAAAAAGTGCTGTGTCTAGTACGAGTGCCTCATGGCGACAATCAAGAACCTGCAATCTTGCATTTTGAAAACCAGCATCAAACGGATCAATGATCGACCAGCCCGACTACGATATACAACCGAAGAACCGCACAACATGTAACCTAACGTGCGTATTCTGATGTGTCGTACTACAATTACGAACCAACCGACACCAGCGCGAATGGAAACCTAGTCGACAACAATCAAATCAAAATGTGTACCCGATTGAGACCGACAAACCGAAATAAAGAAACAAAATTCTCTTCTATCGATCTTTTCCATTCTTTCAGTGACAAGCGTCCGTGGAACCAGAATCAGAGGGCGTCCCATTGGAGGCCAACGGGAACAACGCTCACAGATCACTTCCGGTAAATGCCTCCAGGTACGAGCACCAGAGTAGATACGGGGATCTGTGCGTGAATGTCTTCGAACACAAAGCAAGTATGAGTCTGGAAATCAACAAAGTGCCAACGACCTTCCGGATTGCGCTAGAATGCAGGTAGCAGCTGCAGGGGCCGAGCGAACGCTTTTGCACAGGGTTTCTGTTGCACCCTCCTCCAGGGTTGACAGTATCTGCTGGAGCTTTTTGGCACAAGGGGAATCATGTGTCGTGCTGCATAGAGGATCCGTGTTCAGAGGTATATAGAACTGCCGCTGCTCTGCTGCAAGGGTAACAAAAAGACGTGGTATCGCAGCTTCCGGAGGGAAGATCTTCCACCATGTGGACCCACGATGACCTTTGTTCTTGTCCGCTAGAAGACAATGACGAATCATTAGCCATTTGGGGAAAACAAAAATACCGCTAACATCACACAAATTCTTCTCAGACGCATCCAATCGCGTGCTTGTAACTGCAAACATGAAAACGTCAATGCCATGACTGACATCGAATCGCTCTGATCGTCGCCTTCTTCCTGCAGTCCTACAATATCTATCCAAACGCACTCGCCACTTATCTTTTTTCGTGCCCATCGCATGGCATGCGCGGAAAAGTACACGATAGTCCCCCAGTTGCATATTATGCAGCGAACCAAAAGTATTCCCATAGGACACAGGCAGTCCCGAAAATTGCAGTAACAGTTCTTGCGCACGAAGTGGCCTTTGCACAGCCTGGGCATGGAAGCCATCTAGTAGTGTGGTCTGAGTGCACCAATCGAGCACCGTTCGCTGCGGCAGAGCATTCCAGAGCTCACAAAGTCGAGACGACGCCGAAACTCCAGGACGACACGGATCCTGCATGCACAACAGAGCCACGCAGCCGAAACCTCTGCTGACAGATAGTTCACCCGGAAGGAAGAGCCGCGCAGCATCGTCTTTCGGGGAACACAAGACAACACCACCATCATCTCTCACTAAAACCCCCTTGAAATGAAACTGCCTGCGCATAGCACCCCGGTATCTGGTACTTCTTACCTGCAGAACCGCCCACACCGGTAGCCTACGCTCTATAGAACTCCCCCCTCTCATTTTACGAAACAATATGAATAAGTTTGCTGGGCAATCGCCTGAACTCACACACTCCAGGGGACTGCTCCTCGACATGCTGCTGGAACCAGGTAATGGACTGCTCGAAGTTGCACCGTTGGGGATTATGTGCCTCAAATTCGAGATCCTGGCTTGGAGACTCTGGGTCCTGCTCTGCGTGCGAAGCCGAAGATGAGCCTACCGCGCGCGTGTTTGAGCAGGCATGCTCACGTGTACTGTGAGCCGCACGAAGCTGGCGAATGCTGTTCCCTGGATTCAGATGTGCTGCGCGATCTTCTAATCCAGTACGCGAACCTAATGCACTGACAGACCGCCAGACTTGAGGCGTCCCACGATGAATATCGCGTCCGGAAATTTTTCTGGACGCGACAAGAGCTGATCGCCCCGCGCTACAGGACATGGCATACCGTGATTGTGCCAGGTATTAGCTTCTTGAAAGGCGACTAGCAATTGAGGGTGACGCAGACCACTGAGTCCTTACAGGTTTTTGAGGAGACTCTCATATTCTCCAATTTGGCATGAGTAAAGACTTCGCGACTTTGCAACAAAGTGATTCAATTTCTACAAATGATAGCGAGCGCCAGCGCAACACGGTGCATTCATTGGCATCAGAGCATGTACGAAGCCACTAACATGTAGCGCGAAAAACTCAATGAAGATTTGGGATCCCTTCTAAATCTGCACGAGAAAAGCACAATGTGGAATCATTGCGATGTCTTCAAAAAGTGCAAATGTTGATTTTTTACGATACAATGTTATCAAGAAACCCGCCTCCATCAATTCCATTAGGATGAGCTACAGCTTCGCCTCCCCCAACATCCTCTCAAACGCTTGTTTTTCTGTCCCCTTTTGGATCAGCAACTCTCGACCCAGTTCTTTCGCCTTCCCAACCGCAGACACTCCAGCAAGTTGCATAGCATTTGTGACTTCATCGCGCAGGATCGAACAGGCTGAATCCGCACCTCGCTCACCGTCTGCTGCTAACGCCCACAAAAACGGGCGCCCAACTGAGACCACGTCAGCGCCAAGCAAGAGGCCACGAAGTACATCTTGGCCACGCCGTACGCCGCCGTCAACAATCAGTGGAGGGATGGTTCTATCTGATTTCGCCGCAGCCCAGCGTTGCAGTGCATGCCTGATGTGCGGAAAAGCGTCAGCGCATCCGACAGCGGAATCCGCCTGGCGCCCGCCGTGGTTCGAAACCCAAACAGCAGCAGTCCCGTTTTCTGCTGCGAGAATAGCGTCTATCGGATGCAAAACGCCCTTGACGATGATTGGCAGATTTGTCACACTACGAAGCCAAGCAAGATCAGACCACCGAAAGCCCGCATCACGACCACCGATCCGTGATGCCACAGCAACTACGGATGGCGCAGGTGTCGTAGCTTTGAAAGCGGACGATGCGACAGCAGACTGCCCTCCTGCACTACTTGACGAAGAGGCTCCGCTCCCACTATTCGATGCAGCCTTAGTTGGTTCTTCTTTCCAGTTACTGATTTCGACACCGCGTGACTTCGGGGTAAACTTGTTACGGATGTCGCGTTCACGCCTACCCAGTACCGGAGAATCGACGGTGACAACCAGTGCGCGAATATCCTCACACTTTTCGCAACGCCGGATTAGCCTCTCGGTCAACGCGCGATTTCGAAAGATGTACATCTGAAACATCTTCGGACCTGACAAAGCAAACCGCAGAAGACGTTGAACATAGACACGGGTTGTGGTCATTTTCATTTTCAATGATGATGATTCTCGATGAGACAAGCCCTTAAGCATAAGCACAATAGCTCGATCAGTCATACTCTTTCAATACCTCCTTTCGACTCTGCGCAGATCGTCTCCACTTTTGTGCTCGCTTGCTGCGTTATGCAGTAGAGAATGCCTGCTTTTGCCGCCGCCCGTGCGAGTCCGACCTCTCCGTCTGGATGGGCCAGTTTCTGGAGTGCCATAGGGCAAACCATCACCGGCATTTTCAAAGGAATCGTTGTACCTGCTGCAGCACTCGGCGTAGAGGAAGACGGCAACCTTAAACTGGTCTCCAATTCCACCGTTGCAAGGTCCGCGGATCCACAAAACCTAGGCCAAATGCAATACTGTGCCCAAGACTGCATGTTTCTCTTCACAGTTGCTTCGTCAAGCGAGCCGCTAGCGTAGTAATCATAATCGATCTTGTCCATCTTGTGTTTGGCAATCCGATGAAAATCCGCCAAATTCACCACAGTGGTAGACATTTCATCCGTCTTCCCTTTGCTCGATGGAGAAGACCCGCCGTCCATTTTCGCAGCGGCGGTCTGAGACCCGCTGGAGGGACTCGTTGCTGCGCTCATTCTCTGGGTGTGGGAAGACAAAGCTGGACGTTGTACTAGAAGCTTTTATTGACAATACGCTACTTGACGACGCCTAAATTTTTAATTTGCGGTTCAACCTTATGCACGATTCAGGTTTCTGTGAGGGAGCCAGCTGTCTATCTACGCTGTTGTTATTCGTAACCACCGCACGAGGGATGAAAGGAAACCTTGTCAATTCCGTCGTCATCTTCCTTGCTTCGGAGACTACGTTTCGCTTTTGCAAAGACGATGGAAATGCGTTGCAAGCGTAAATTGTGAGTAGATGCTCAGTCGCATCTTCCATCATGGAAAAATTGTAGATCATACGAGGCGTCATTGTGTGCGTGGAAAATGGAATGGAGACAAAATAGCTGCTGCAAAGGGCGAATGCAGAGGAGAGCTCAAGCTAAACGGAATACGAAAGATATGAAAAACCAAAAAGAAACAGAAGAAAGCTAAAACTGCGAAGAATGCTGAAGATGAGTATCTTCCAACTATGATGGGTGAAGTGGGATTTAGGTAAAACTGGGACTGAGATCTAAGTGATTGCGCTTAATGGGATAGTTAGTATGTATAAACGCGATAGTGTAAGGCTTTGAGTGACAAGGAAATTCCACTTCGACATCCATAAATCTAGTGCGTAACTGACACGTATAGTTGGAAACTCGAACTAAGACTTGACTGAAAAAGCTCTCAAGTGGTCGAGAGACAGGGAAAAAGCATCATCGTCACTCTCTCTCTGACCCGCGCGTAGCCCGGAAACCCGTCTTGCCTTCGTCCGTACGCTTGTCTGCGTTCTTGGATAAAAGTGCTCGTCTGGCCCGTCTGATGAGAAAGATAGCCGGCATGAGCAGGTGCAAGAAGAGTGAAGAGAAGGGCTCACCGATAACTCGCAGTATCGCTACATGAGTTGTGTATGCAAAAAGCGCCCAGAGATTGAACAGCGGAACGAGGCCGCACGGATCCGCCGTTTTCATTCCACCGCTAAGGAAGCAGAAAACGACAATCCACTCGCTGAAGTAAAAACGTGCCCGATCGAGCGCAAAGGGTAACGGATTCAAGTCGCATCGTCCATAAGCATCGCTAGGAGCCAACCAAATCAGAAAAACGAAAACTAGTGGCCAATACTGCCGAAACACAACGTCGCGTAGATAGGGAAGCTGGGGGATAATGTCATTTCCCTGACCACTACTCGTGCTAGTCGTTATGTTTCCCCTAGATGATGATGAGTTTCCTGTTCTCAACAACACTGGAGTAGAAGTTCCTGCTCCCACCTCAGAAGGAAAAGATCTTGGTGGCAACGCCTTCGCAAACCAGAGAGAGAAGATGTATATTTTCAGCAAGTGTCCGAATCCCACATTGTTGTACGGAAACATCACTCGTGGCAGCCAAATGAACGCCATAATCACCCATCCTGGTGACACCAAGAACCCAGAATGGTTTCCGTTGCTGCCAGACGTCGATCGTCTTCGTCGTTGCTGATGGCACAGAAAGGAGCATAGGAAGTTGAGGACGAAAAACTCTGTGGCGATGAACCAAACATGTCGGAAAATTTTTGCAATGGAGCTGACGTTAGAAATGACGTTCGTCGGCGGCAAGTCGCAGACGCAGAAGGCGATGAAGCAGGATACTGCGAGTACTCCGTAACTAGCCGTAATGACCCACTCTATTGCGGAAGCGGGTTCGTCTAGTGGCGGTGACACTTCCTGCTCACTGCACGACGTTCCGCTACCTCTGAACTCCCGGTCAAGACTGTAGTCATTGTCATTTGCTTCACGCTGTGCAGTGAAGGCGCCTGAATCTCTTCGCATCTTCGTATTTCCAACCAGCGGTGTCAAGCCTGGAAGACTAAATTGCGCTGAGTGCCCCGCTACGGGCGAAGCCGCTGCTGCAGCATTAATCTCCTGGAGAAGCCCGTGACAACTTCCGATGCTCGTGCTGGCATGCATGGAAGACGATCGCGCGTTGCTGCCTCCCTGAGGTCTACTTTCAGGAAAGTGGGGCTTTCCGATTCCTAAATCGGCATAAGACGGCGTGGTCTCGTCTTCGCAATTCTGCAAGACAACTGCAATTGCATCTGTCGCCGCGAGTTCGCTTAAAGATGAAGTGGACCTTAGGCGTTGGGATGTTGCCGTCTCTACACCGTTTGTAGAACTAGTTGTACTCTGCGACGTGGATTCTAGCTTATTTGTTCTTCTCACATCTTCTCCGCTTTGCTCTTGTTGAACTAGAACGATATCATCACCCGAGAGACCGCCCAAGCACGTGAATGAAACGCCTGCGCACGACGCGGTGGTCGGTGCAGTCCCGCATTCGCTATCTTTGGACGATGAAGTGCCTGACGCAGACGAGGCTATGCAAGAAAAAGGTCGCTGTCCTTTCTTCACAGCTTCAGGTGATTCGCGTCGGTGTACGCCGTCTCTAGCAGCTTCGATAGAAGCAGGCATACAAGTAGTGTTCAGCTGGGGGCCGCGCACCACATCGTGATTTATAGCCTCCGCGCTATTGGAGGAACAAGAAGAAGACGAGCAACTACTCGACGCGTCAGCGTCCCCGTCCTCGATGAGTTTTCTGTAGTTTGGCCGCGTACTGCGCCCGAAGACTGTCCGAGCACGCGATACACCGGCACATCCTGGCGACGCCCGCACATCATTCCCGACAGACTCAGAGAATGTATTGCCGCCTATAGCGTTGATGCAGGATCCAGTCCGATGTGATGTCTCGCTTATTCTCAGCCCGCTTTTATCTAGAAGCTTGACCTCAGTGCTACTACTGGAGCTTGACAGCGAGCGACTTCCCATGATCCTGCCTTCGGTGCTTCTGTTGTTTGCATCGCTTAGTATCTGCCTGGCCCGTTTTCTATCTGCTGCCTCGAGTTGCCATCTTAGGGGATACTCGAACAGCGCCATGCCGGCGAGCATGAGCACGAAGGCCATCTGGAAAACAGTGTCCTTCCATGACGTCGGTTCTAGCGGCGGTCGCTCGAGCAAGTAACTCCGCGAAAACTCATCTGCGCCCCAATTGAGCCCGGTGCCAACGCAAAACAGCGCCAGCAAACGACCTAAGTACGATAGTAGCGGAGCTTTGGAGAGTGCGTAGCAGTATCCGGAGATGGCATACAGAAACGGCAACACCCAGTGCAGTACGAAGCCTACATTCCGCAAGGAGTATTCGTGGCTGCCGCAATGTTCAGTCACAACGCATGCTACCGCAAGGATCCTGCCGTAGTCCAAATGGTAGAGGCGTTGAGATGATGCAGACTTCTCAACCTCTGGCGAATTCCGCCTGCATTTTTCCACTGGATGTCCGCTTGCCAGCTGGTCGGGGCCGACCGAAGAGCACATCTGCCTGCTCTGCACGTTGACCTCTGTCCCACTAGAGGACGCGGCACTTGTCTTCTCTCGTGTCTCGACATCTTCCACTCGGCTCTCCACCAGACCCCTCGTACCGTGCTTAGTTGTCGTACTACCGTCGTCTCTTTTCCTCCTCCTTACAAGAAGGAGCAAAAATAGCACAACGCAAAACACCGCGTAGCAGGCTTTGGCTTCTGGTGAGCGGTACTCGATATCGTAGCCGTCTTCCTGGTGGTGGCATTTTACCTCCTCTTGATGCCGATACCAGAAGTTTCCTTCGGCTGACAAAGCGGAAACACGCGTGATTACTGTCGTCGAGAGAACTGCCAGTGGCGATATCCGTGCTCCAGTTCGAGTTCTGCTAGATGGCAGCGCTCTACCCGTCCCTGATTTTCTCCTGTTCATGTCTATATTCACGTTTGACAACAGTGCGACAATTTTCACATCAATCAGAATTCAATGAAGAACGTCAAGTACGTAGGGAAGGTCGATGATATAAGCATTGAGGCTCAAAAATCTCTTGCGATGCTACACTTTGTATTTCGGAAATGACGTCCCTAGAATACAACTGCTAAAGGTCGTATTTTCGTCTTTAGAATAAAACTTTGAGAAGCGCTGCGCCCACAGTATCGAGCAATTCTATTTTCTACACATGCCAAACTGAACTCTTTCCCGTTTTTTCTGATGAACGTGAACAACGAGTTCTAAGAATCTTCATCGACCTTCTTACACCTAATGGCATCATCTTTGTTGCTACAACTACAATCTTCATAATAGCTTTTCCCTGAATAAAACATCGGTATTGGGGGCAGGGAAGGGGAGTTGGCAACCAATCCTCATGACACCGCTCGTCTTTGCGCACCAGACGACGCTCACATCTCTTCCAAAAAAAACAAAAGAAATTCATATGCAGACGAAACGCATTGAATACTGGGAAAGACAAGCAAGCATCGCCTCGTCACTCTTCACATCAAGAACTCTCTTGCCAGGTATTCTTGAGGTGCACACTCACAACTTTGGAGAGAGTACCGACATTGTTTGGCTCACCACCATTTTTGTGACGGTCTCCTCACAACAGCAAATCTCGCAGCCGCCTAGAGCACACCCTCGACTAGTGGACGACGCGCAGAGAATCAAATATGCGTTTCCTGGAGACCAGGAAAAAAATCGCAAAAAATTTCCGTAAAAATCGCAAACCAGTTTAGTATACCTATACAGTTTCCTGGAGATATTTTCCCGAAGATCCCTTCAACAAACTCTGTACATTGAATGAAAATCCCAAAGTGTTTGATCTTATTTTTTACATTTGCCCCTGAAGTTCATTGACCAAAATCTATGAGTACATGTTTGTTTTCAGCGTTCTATTGAAGTGTAGTCCCTAACTGTGGGATTTGTAGAGATAATTCCGCGATCCTTTGCTATTTTTCTGTGCAACTTGTCCGTGCAATCAATCACCTTCATGTTTGTACTAGCATCCTCATGCCAATCATGATCAAAACAATCGTAAGTCTGCGAACTCGTCTACCTCTGGGACCATGTTTTCTATGCGTATTCTTTCTGCTTCGGCTTCTTCGGCAGCTTTTCGTTCCTGCTCAGCAAGCAGATCCTGTTGTTGTTGCGCCGCGTCAACCTCCATGCAAATCTGTGCTTCGTCCCACATGTCTCTCTGGCCGATGCAGCGAATCGTGCGCGCGCCGTTTGCACACGCAGGACAACAGTCAAAGTTGCAGAAGTCGTGCCTGCACTGGTATATATTCGAGTAGCGCTCAATGGCTTTGCCGCAGATGTCGCAGACGTAGCCCGCCTTCGGAAACATCTTCACGAACACGACGCCGTGCTTTTTCGGGCAGTCGAGCAGCTCGAAATAAATCTTGTTCTCCTGATGGGGTTTGCCGGGACGATCGGGGTTCTCGTCGTGTCGCCAATAACACGTATCACCACGTTTGCAGGTGCCGTGATAGAAATTCATGCACGCAGGCCTGGAGGCGGTGGTGTTGCTGCCCTGTTTGCGGGAGTGGTCGTAAATCAACGTGGGTTTTTGCGCTGGCGGACGCCGAAAAGGTAACCGTTTCTGGGGAATGTTGGCGCGACGAAAGATTTCGCTTACTTCATCTTCTTCGACGTATTTCGTCAAGTCGCCGTTTTTCATGTGTTTGATAATATCCTGCACCGTATCGAGTTTGGTGCGCGCAATGGGCCGCTGTTTAGATGACAACGCCCCGACTTTGGGCACCTTAAGAGTCTCCAAGTGCTTCTTATGCAGTGCTTCCTCGTGCTCAGCCTGCTCCCGGTATGCATCTGGAGAATATGCCTTGTCTGGCGCCCGCCGTCGATCCACACTCGACTGCGGTGATCCTGGACTACTCGCTTTCGCGCCAGGTGAAACTTGCGGACTCTGCGCAGCTCCAGTGACAGGACTACTTGCTGCTGCGCTCTTCGCTGTGCTACCACCGGCATCGTCTGGTAAGCTAGCCTTCTTATCTGCGCTATCCGCGTCGCCTGACGCAGGAACGGAATCTGCGTTGCTGCCGTCTTCGCCTTCGTCGTCTTTCTTCTTGTTCTCCACATCGTCCCAGAAAGTCGGTGCCGCTACCGGGTTCTTTATGCAGTCCGGTAGTGTGTTTTTTATCAGCACCGCCCTCAGGATCGGACTCCCATCAAAGGCGAGGGCGTACTTGCCACTACCCAGCGCATTTACCGGCGCTCCCGTTTCCGTCGTGTAGTTCACCTCCCCTGTCAGCTTGTCCTTGAAGCAGAAGATGTAGTCGATCGGAACCTCGTCTTTCAGTGGATGTCGCGGACTCTCTGCATGATAACGCGGAGCGAACTTGTACTGTTCTATCACATTGCCATTGAAATGCTGGAAGTAGCCGTAGGTGTTGATGTAGACTAGCTTACCCTGCTCATCTTCGAAGTTTCCTTCTTCGTCAATGTAAATCGTTTCTACTACGGGATCGCGCTCCTCGAATGGTGGCGGGTCGCCGTTGGCATCTGCGAGTAGGACGTAGAGGAGAGATTTACAACAACTACAATCATTTTGACTTGTTTCATTGGCTGCAAAGTAGCCGAGGCTATCACAATTGTCATAGGGATTGGGACGAAGCAAAACTAGCATAGCACGGTAACAACCTCCAACGCAAGTTGTACTTTTCTTAATCAACTAGGCAACCATCACACTTTTCCTTCTACCGCAGCAAAAACAAGGGACGAAACAGTAGTTCTTACAACAGAGTTACCAAATTACCTAGCTGAAACCAATCTGGCTCTCCCGGTTGATTCCAAAGGCCGGATTTCGGGTCGTGCCACAGCTCCTTTACTGGGTCGTAGTAAAACTGCGTCTTGTGATTATACCACAATCCTTTATCTGCCAGATACACCGTGCCCTCGCCATGCTGCATCGACTTCTTCAAGTCGATGTTGTTTTTCACGCTGGTGGGCGGCAACCTTTGGTACTTGCCATTCAGGCCGATTTTGTTGATGGGCATAAGCCGCGACATCTTGGATGCTCATGTATGTGGCTGTACCAAAAACGATGTAAAATGGTGAAGGAACGAAAGTCCATGTAAAGGAACTATAGACAGTGCAGCTGCAAGAACCATCATGCAATCATACGACAAACTCTAGACAAAACAAAGCACAGCTGTCTTATATTTTATTTTATCGAGTTCGAGATTGTTCGCGGCGGCGCATGCTTTCATTCAGCTAACGAATTTGGGAGAAAGATGAGGCTAGCTAGAGATTCAGAAAAACCAAAAGCAAATTCGCAACCAGAGCTCGCAACGCCAATTGCGGACACTGAAATTAGATGCAAAATTTGACGGCATGGGTATGATGATGGGAACCTAGACTAAGTAGCAAATTGACACGCTCCCTCAAAACAGACTTAGTTCGGTTTGCCTCTCATCTGTGTATCGCAACAGATTTTGTGATGAACACATACAACTGCGATTTCACTCGAGAACAGACCCGGTTTGTACACCTGTTGGCCAGCTAAACAGTACACTCCAGGCAGATTATATCCCTTTAGATGCTTATGCTGACAGATTCCGTCGAGCAGTGGGAGGCACTCGTCACAGAAAAGTAAGTACTCACACTCACATTTCTCTTAGGAATCTATTGAAGATCGTCTCTGCCACTAGAATAAGTGTAACTACTCCATATCTGGATCTTCCAACGTAAAGCTTGAATTTTTCTGTCGGCCGTGCGCATCCAGCACACAGAGTAGCTTCAGACTGTGCACTGGAATACACGACTCGAAAACAGTGCATCGAAAGAGAAAGACCCAAAGGCATTGCAGCAAGCCGCAATCGCCAATAGAGTCCCTCTCCGACGACAAGAGTTCGCGACTTGGCCATATTGATATTGGACTGCAGAACGAAGACAAATGGCACAAAGGAAAGACCACTGTCCCAGAGAAGAGTCCGTAAGATTGAAGAAAATCACATGCTTTTCCTTCTTCAGTAGAATGTATGATCATCTTGTGAAGAAAGTCAGAAAGTAATTTAAGTATTTAGTAAAATGTTGTATGCAGATATTTCCGTGATTGGCGGGTGTTCTTGATTTCCGTGTCTCGTTTCAGTGAACACAAGAATTCAGTGGCGCAAGCAAGAGAAAATGCAGTTGATGCCCCAGCGGATTATATAGAACGAAAGGGGCAAAGAAGATGCTCTATGTTTTCCAGAAGCGGCATCATAGCAGCATTGATATCCTGACGTCTTGATATAACTACAACAACACGGCGTTGGGTGGATAAGTAGAGAGGATGGATACAAAAAACCGTTGCGCGTGACGTCCAGATCGTGGCTTGCAAAATGACTCAATCCAATGTCAAGAGTTCAACTACCATCCAATGTCAAGAGTTCAACTACCAGAAGGTAGTGAATACATAGTTCAGCTACAAATAACAGCACTGCTTACAACAAGAGTAGAGACCTCTTTATTCCGATAAAGAGACCAACTCACTAAACATCAAGTGGAAGCTTCTCTGCAAAAGCATCCACTATCGAAGCACCAGGAGCGTTCTCTGATGCAACGACCTCAGCAAGCACTCCTTCAAGAAATGGATAAACATGGCGGGCGAGATAGTCACGCACCGGACCGGACTTAGCAGCAGCGTTCGTTGGACTACCGTCAATATCGGTAGCCGGTGTACCAGCAAGAATTGCTCGAATGGTCGGAACTGAAAGATTTGGATCAGAAATATGTGATGTGTAGACCTCTTACAAAGAAAGTTCATCCAGGTTATCCCCGATAGATTCGAAGTGTAATCAATGAAATGAAAAAGGTGTTGACTTGGACGCACGATAAAGTACCAGCAGGCACAATGCGCTCCTTTGCGCACTTGTCAAGTGCAGCACGAAGTCTCGTAACTAGTTGAGAGTCGCCTTCCAGCTTGATTTGTGTCGTACTCGCAAGTTCAATCACATCCACAGGCGGTGGCGGAGCTGCGACTTGCAAATTAACCACAAAAGCAGCCAGCACCCCACCTGCATCCTCGATTTTAGTGTATTAGAGCTCAAAACAGTGTATTTCTTGCCTGCATTTCTCCCAATCCTAAGGGGGAAACAGGAAGAAGTGACTCGTTGTAGAAATGAATTGTATTGAGCCTTAAGTGTAGTTAGCTTCCGTTGCTCTACCTCCGGGATCCTGTGTTGGATTGTATCCCGGGCTGCCGAATTGCCGTATCATTGCACCCAAATCGATGTCGTTGTCTTCTAGTGGTGTAAGTCCGAAAGCCAGGCCGAATTGTCCCGTCGAATGCTGAAAACCTGGATGGTCGGTGTAGGACGTAGGAGCCATCGTCGTATCCAAACCCCCACTGTCTTGCTTTGCAACGTCGACAGGTGGTGTGATAGGTGGCGTCGACCGGTGAGTCACAGGCCGAGTTCGAAAGTTCATTTTCGGCGACAGAGTGGCAGTCTCCTCGGCTGGTATCTCTCTCTCGCCGCCACCAGTATCCTCTTGGTTCGTCCTGGCGACATGATCCCTGGATGAAGTTGTTGTGGGAGGCCCTACAGCCGCTGCAGGAGTCCCGTAGTGCGGTTGCTGATCCTTCGCTCTGCTAGTCGATGGAGTTGCAACTGCTCTTGCAGAATGTGTCGAGGAACTAGCAGACGCCGAAGAATTATTGGCCTTATTTTCCGCCTCTGCTGGATTTCCTCTATTTCTCGAACTACTAGACGAGGATACGGACCTAGTCGCCGACGCAACATCTTTGACGACCACGCGACGAGTGCTCGACCCACCTGTAGGCGCCGCTCGAGAAGACGACTTCTTGTCTGGCGACCAACTACTCCGTCTTGTATGCGGCGATTGCCGCAATTTATCTAAAGGCAGCGGCGCTAGTTCTCCTGATCGAGGTTTCTTCGCGGGTGAGCTCGAGCTGCTGCTACTGCGCGAACTGCTTCCCGAAGACGAATTCGAACTAGCTGGTCTCCGTTGCGAGACTCGTTTTGCTGGCGATGATCCACCGCCTTTATTCGTTCCGCCACTGCGACTTGTATATTTCGCATTTGCATTGCTCGAACTTGTTTTGCTGCTCTTGCTCAAACTCGTCTTGCTTGAGGAGGACGTTTTCGAGCTCGTCACACTCTTTTTGCTCAGGACCGAAGACTGCGGACGCCGCGCCGACGCGTTCTCCGCGCTAGCCCGTGAAGTAGCATCATTACGGCGGGTGACGCGACTGCTGCCATCATCGGAAGACGACGATGATGTCGACTCAATGGGTTTGCGCTTCAACGGCGATCGCCGCGATGTCACCGGAGGGGAAGAGTCGGAAGAACTCATATTGCTTTTTGCAGATTTTGGAAAGGTTGAATGATTATGAGGATAATTCTCGAAGAAACCTCGTGAAGTGATTGAAAAGTGCTCCTCTTTCCTTCTTGGGACTATCTCCCTTATATTTAATCTGTAAAAGTATCTATTCCTTTTTCGATTGTAGGTAGACAACAGACTGATGTAGCTGGCCGTCGGCATTCCTTTCACGTCTTCTAACATACCGAGTCGCCGAAAAGAGGACGGCTGCTTGTGACTGATAGTCCTCTCCAACCGAGTGAAAATCAAAACGAATCCTGTGAACGACGAACTGCGGCACAGAACGAATGCACAGTTTTTACCGACGTCTACGTCTACGTCACGAGAAAGATGAAAACTAATTTCACAGAGTCCGACGTCTTCACAATGATCTCTCATAGCGAATCCGAATCCGACTCGTCTACCTCGCTGGTCACGAAAACGGGAGCAAATCAAACTTCCTAGTGAGGACCAATAAAATCGTGACTCGCAGTCGAATCTTTTCTAAATGCGGTAAATAGCTCTGTACGGTACTCCACGGCAATGAGGGATGGGCACCATCTTCAAAATGACAAAACATCACAATCAAATCACTTCGCCTGTTTACTTGTTGCCCCGCCGCATCAACATCATTCCAAATACTTAGCGTCATGTTTTTCGCTTCTCATAGATTGAATAAGGTTCATTTATAGCATACAATGGTTACAAGTCAATAGAAAAGTTCTGTGCAGAGCTATACAACAAGATGTGAGATACACAAGCAAAGACTAGTGGACATTGAATCATCCGTCTCCCCTATAGCAATATTGTGAAGTTTTCAATAATTAGGATTGTTAGATCGTCTACATCGCAAAACCAATTTCTTAACTTAATCTCCCCGAAGCTATGGCGACCTCAACCACTAGGATCTTCTTCTACGTTACCACGCCGGCTCAATCGCTCCCCCCCCCACTAATACCACCATCGTCGCCGCGTCTCTAACAGTTTTTATGAACTGTCAGCGACACGATTTGTTCCCAGCGGTGGATATTACTTTTTTCCTAGCTTGATCCCGACCTGAGACAGATTGTCGACTAGTTTGGTCATTGCACTCGAAGTGATCGGATAGTAGTTGGAAGACTCTTGTGGCGGATGCATGTTGCGGTAATGCCAACCGTACTCCTGCGATGTCGCGTAAGGCTTCGAATATTGATCCGAAGAGTGGAACGGACATCGTGTATGCTTCACCCGATGAAACCTAACAGCGGAAAAACAATTGAGGAATGCCATTATTTTTGAAGAAAAAGTTTCATTGGCTCATGTACTGGAAACGGATCTGTGCAAACGAAGATTACTGTGAAAATAATCATCATGACACTTTCCTGACACTGACAGACACATTGTTCACAGCACATATCATTAACTCGAAAATTTCTAGATTTCAAAAGTTCACGGATCTAATATCCTCCACAAAGTAGTAGTACCGCATAGTTTCGTAGCTCTGATAGGAATATCCGCCTTGCTGATTCATTTTGATGTCCGTCGCTGCATATTGACTTGGATAGACGTTCAGGGATTCTGGGTTCAGCCTGAGTTGCCACATACGATGGTACGACCCAAAGGTGTTGCGAGGTTCAGACTGACATCGCTTCAAGATAGGCTCGCCCGTTGAGGGTGAGATTTCCGGTTTGGACAACGGCATCTTTTTGGTTCTCTCAGACAGTACCAGTACCTAGGGAAGTGCGCGTAATGAGGAGTCACCAGGTGAGTATTTTCCTCAAAACGGCCAAGAAAACTACCTAGAAGCAATCTTGAATTTCCAATGGTAGGACTTGATGAGTGAGTCAAAGAGAAATCGCGAAAGGCTCGCCAAGAACAATCCACGATGTTCGAAGCTTCCTCAAAAATTAACAATCTATTCGATTTACTTACTGTTACTTCTAGTTCTAAGTTTATAATAATAGAAATGAAGAAGCTGCCAGGAAATATCTGATCGGGACGAGGGGCGGGATTTCTTGCGGACTAGAATGCATGTACTATCAACCGATGCCATTCTTGCCAAACTCAAGACATTATTGTACCGAGAACAGCCAGGCCAACACCGATTCTTCAATGCTGTAGATTTTTTCTACGTACACAGATTGTCATCTACTAATATGATACCGAAAATACTGCAGGCCTCACTCTTCGGATATCAGATTGTTCACAAAGGGAACAAACGACACATGAGGGACCCATCCTCATCGACGGAGAGAGGCAAGGAGTGGCCACTATCCTCCTCGTACAAACGCAGTATCTCTTCTCACCCGAATTATCCTACAAGTGTCATCGTTACAAACTATATATCGTATGGGCATCCGTTCACCTGCTTTCGATGGTCAATTACGTTCTGCGTTGCCTGAAGAAGGGCCTCGTGGCTGACCCGAAACGTTACTCCATAAAAAAGATTCAGATCAAGAACAAGTTTGTTAGCACTGAGTCACATGGGAATCCTTATTATCATAAAATGCACTAACGAAGCGTGGGCGCACAAAAGAACAACATATGGATGACAATGATGGTCAATGAGCCTTTTACGTCATTGACAAGCTATATTCACAAGTAAACTGGCTTTAGTTGTGGTTCCCGTTCAACCAAGTCTAATCGGATACTCACCAGCACTTCGGTTTATCCGGTATTTCTTCGACCTTGTAAACATTCATGACTTCCATGAGCAGCTGGACGTCTCTGAAATTCCCGTGGGCCTCTGCCAGCTGGGGAAATTGCTTCACCAGTCGCATAGCCTGGGACAAGCTGAGACCCTCCTGCGCCGCTTTGTCTCCGGCATTGTACGCGATCTGCATTTCAGGAAACTTGTCTTCAAAGGTGCGCGAGAACCAGTGGATAAACTTGACTTCATGATGCTCTCCCATCCAGGGTCCGCGCTTTGCCATCATCACGTATGTTCGTAGGGAGTCAACCTGTACGCAATGGAGAGCAAAGAAATTCAAAACGAAGGCGCAACTTTATTGCTCCTCAAGAAAACCTATTCCTTTTTTTAACGCATTGAGTCCCATTGGCCAGTTGTAGGTTAAGTACAAAACAAGAATATCAACCCAGTATTATCATCACGATCACCAAACCAAAATCCATAACTGTTACCCAGTATGGCCTCGCCAGTTCCATATCCACGCGCTTCGGCTGGTGTGATACCTTCAGGGTTGAGTTCGCATATGTCAGAGCGTCGAGGCCGCGCTGATCTACCTCGTATGGATAGCTGTGATACCACTCAAGAAAATCGTGGAACCACTGCAATGTCAGAATCGTTGGTCGGATGTAGAACCTGAGCCACAGAAGGAAAAAGCAGTGGAGGCTTAAATGCCAGTAGTTGCCGTTACTGATGTGATCAAATTGGTACCAATTTGATCGAAGTAGCTTATCCTTATATATCATTCCAAGTATCACAATTGTCAGGAAAAATACAATCCGATGTTAATGCAAGGCCCATCCGGGTGCTGAGGGAACAGGATATCGTGGTTGTGATGGTCCGCGTATTCGACAATAGGCGTGACAAAGTCCTGCACCGCATACGTATCCATATCAAAATACAGGAGCTCCAGCCCCAATTGCAGCAAGAAAAACATGATCGTAAATCGATGAACCTGTATCATTCATTGAAGTCGGAAAAGAGATGCAACTTCTGAATCAGTCGACCTGTATTTGCCAGCCACGATGCTTCCGTCGTCGAGAGTGAGTATTGAGTAGGAATAAAATATTTCAAGATAAGTACCTGCGATGGTGTCTTCGGCTGCCAGCAGCCGACTTGGCCGTACGTTTGAAACTTCAAGCATGTCGTATACGCCGTTTCACCCACTGACACAACCACCATGGGATACGGCAACTGCAGCTGTCCATAAATGCGGCTGAGCATGATAGGCAAAACTTCGGACCAATTCTGTCCATACAAGAGCGTAACCAAAACAAGCCGCCGACCCGTTCGAACGATTGCCTTTCCACTCTGCGAGTCCACGTCAGCTCGTCCGTCCGCCAGTACTTATGAAAAAGGAAACTGGTCGTTGAAGAAAACACAAACCTACAAAGTGAACTAAGCCCTAGGAGAGCAAAATACACGAGTTGTTCCGTCTCAGTATGCAAAATTCTTTTTTCCATCACAAGCATAAATCTTTTTCGAACACCGCGCCAACTGGTGAGTACTGCGGACGAGCCTGGTTCAACGGGTTCACTATTCGTGTACTCGGATGATGGAGGCACTTTGGTTGCGGCAACGTTGTGTGCGTAAATCGAAGCCCACTGTAGTCCCCTTCTTCCGTGTTGTCAATAAAACGTGCCTCCTCAGTGCTCCAATTCTGTTTTGACTGGTTCGGCTGAATGCTCTTACGCGTCTTACCATCTCCAGTCTGCTCAGGAGGTGTTTGTGACTGGTCTTCGGAATCTGCTCCAGGTCCTCGCGAATATGCTGGAGACTTCTTGCGCGGGTCGGGTCTAGCGATGCAGCACCCGCGGGAGAGAATGCACTCTCGATCTGTTGTGCCACTGCTGGCGCACTCTAAGCCAAACTCTTGTTGAAAGAGAAAGTTCAACAAGTCTTTTTGATCCCCAAGGACGTCTTGTTCTTTCAGAACGAGCGGCATAGGCGCTTCGCCTTCTGCTGGCGTGAAGTGATTGCGGTATTCAAGCAACTTCGTGCCACTGGCGCCGCCGCTTTTCTGCTCCCTTTCTCCGTACAACTTTACGTAGTCTCGAGCTAGCATGTTTTCCCCAATGAGTTTGTCGTAGCCTGCAACCTTGTTGTCGATCTGTTTTACGATGTGCTGTGCACCGGACCCGATTTTTCGCATGCTCTCCCGTTTATGCAGCGCCTCCACGTAGTATTCGTCAAAGAAGTCACCGCACCAATAGAAGTCGTTCAGCATTACAGCAGGCTCGTCCGATGAGGAAGCTGCGTCACCACCTTGGCTTCCCTTGTTGACAGCGTTCTGGCTTCCAAGAACGTGAGCCTCTCTCTTCGGCCTTCCCTCCTCATCCGCGTCCTCTTTGTCGCCCTCCTCTTCCGGTCTTCCCGTTTCAAGGAGTTTCTCGAAGCCCAACGAAATGGCTATTGCGTTTAGAAGCGAGACAAAAATTGGCCGCAATTGAAATCCCTCCTCATTCATTTTGCGCATCAATATCGCTCGCACGTGGCCACCCCACACACCTAATGAAGGCGCAGTGCGCAAAGCCTGCAGATCACCGAATTGCTGCTTCTCGTAGTCGTAGAGGTTCAACTCGTTCTCTCGCAAATCCAAGTCTAAAAATTTCCGCGCATATTTCTTGTCTCCGGAAAAGAGAAATTCGCCCTTATTGATGTCGGAATAATACACCAACGTCTGCCAAATCGGCCACCCTGCAGCAGAAATCCTCTGCCAGTTCAACGTCTCGAACATCATGTTCACCTGTATGTGTTTAGGGAATGTGAAAATTTCTTGCCACTACTCAACGATCATTCCTAAGTCAGCTTTGAGTGATTATATCTATCAAGGACTTAGAATGGAATAACAATCTATTTTTCTTCTACGTATCATGAGGGCGTACCGGCGCCTCGAAGTTCGGGACGTATTCGGTGTATCGGTTTGCCGCGCTCGCGATTTCGATACATGCTACGAGCATCAACGCCAAAGGACACTCTACTTCGCTCTGTGCGTGCATCTGTTTTGAGCCTAACGTCGCCTGCACCATTTCCGCAGTGTACCGCTCGAGTTCCAAATTTACCTCATCGATTTCCTCAGAGTCCGGGTACTGGATTTTCAGCGATTTGACCTGGCTCCACTCCTGCATTTTTATCCGAACTGACGCCCAGTCCAGCAGGCCGTCGCTGCTAGCTTCCGTGCACAGAAACTCCTTGGAGACAGCATGGTAAGGCTGACTCAGCGTCAAAGCCTCGAAGATTGGCCAACGGGACTCCGCCAGAATGGTGACCGAGTATTCCTGCAGCATTACCTGGATCAAATCGCTATAGTACCGAATTTCCCTCACGCACTGCGCAATCAGCGGATGGAATTCAGCTAGCGAAACGAGAAACTTGTTGCTCAGACAGAATGAAGAACAGCGAGAGGAACAGACGTCTATTATTAGCTAGAAACAGAAATCAATTAAATTCTGATGTAAGCTAACTAGTTAAACTGATATTGTAAGCGAAGACTTTTTATGCAGCTTCAGCTGAAGAAGATTCGCATACGTCCATACGACCGACTTTCATCTACTAAAAAGCCTCTTCTCCTAAACTTCTGAGCGCAAAGGACAGGTGGTTGAAGCTGATGTCGTTTAGTCGCGCCGCTTTCTTCGCTTCTGCCGCCAATCCCGCCTCGTGATCGAAGTTAGGGTTCACGTTTGGGTACAAGCGTCGAAACATGAGTGGAGGTGCTGTAATATGGCTACTGGTGTCCACTTCCACCCACTCAAGCTCATCTGGATCCAGAGATCCTAAATTGGACAAGACTTCTTCGTTCAGCTGCCACTCGAATTCGCTATCGATGAAGTCCAACTCTGGTTCTTGTAGTTGCAGCCCGACCTCGTAGTTTGAACCGCGCATCGGTCGAGTGCTATTCCCGCGTATTGCATGCCGGAGGTATGAAGGAAACACAAAAATAAAAACTTTTGCGACGAGGATTGTGCCTAACGACTAGTATCTTCGACAAATTTCTACTTCGAAAGGCTTGTACACTTACACACTTCTCAGGCGACGAAAACCAATTGAACATCCAATAATAACGTCGCATACCAAGCGAATTCCAGCAGGCGTATGCGAATGCTGCTTGTTTTCTTCCCGCGCGAAGGTGAATACGTTTGTCAGCAAAGAGTGTCGTCGACCATACTGGAGCTCGTTCGCCGAATCCAACTGAGGCAATTCTTCTAAAATCAAGAGCAGAATCTTCAATTTGCTGTCTAGGTCTTCGGGGACCAGCTGCGGATCGGCGGTTACAGGGTCATAATACCGATCCAGCGAATGCGCCAGGAAATAGAAGAGTTCCAGAGCCTCGCTTTTTTCAAGCTTATCAGCTGAAGACGAAGCTGTTGATGCACTAGCGCTTTCTACAGTGCTTTTTTGTCCGGCCGCGGCCACTTCCTCTACAAATTTTCCCCAAACAGTGCCCGCTTTTGTTTCTACGTACTTGAGCAATGCATCCACCCCATCTAGATACGACTGCCTCCGCCGCGGTCGCCGCTTAAGTTCCTGCATGAGACCCCGCCTCCACATTGTTGGGCTGTGCTCCTCATGTATCCTCTTCGTCCTGTCGGCTTTGACTAGGGCATTTTCCTCTTCCGTTATCGACCCATCCGCAGCGACACTGACACCTTCACTCGACGTTGATGTCGTCGTGGTAGATTCTGACATAGTCACCTTCGAAATCTTGATTTCCGGCGACCACTCGGGTTCTAACAAAGCATCCAGCAGTTTGCCGTCTGGCAGTTCGCTATCGGGCAGCAAAAGTAGCTTCTTGTCGTCGAGATTTGTATTGTCTAAACCCTTCCCATGCGCGATCAATCTACGCTTGGTCTCCGTCACCGCTGCCAAGTCTTCCTTGATGCGCGCTATTCCCTCACTGGCGCTGAAGCGAGGCAAGTCCACTGGTAAAGGCTCATCTGAGGACCTTGATGCTACCCACTGCAACACTTCTCTTCGCACACCTGCCACCAATTTCAGAACCGACACTTCGTAATCCCGCAGTGTGTAGTAGTAGAACATGATCGCGATCTGCATCGCGCCTAGAGGACACTCACGCTTCCCTTTTGACAAGAGGTTGACCACGTTCTGCGACACAAAATTTGGTATCTCCATGCTGGTGCGGCCTGAACCGAGGTACTCCTTCATGACCATGTCGTAAATCTTGGTCCAGTCATAGGTGTAACTACCAAAGGCGCAATCGTAATCGATAAAGATCGCCTGCGCACCAAGCGGCAAAAACGGTAGAAAAATTGAACGCGGCAATAATTTGACAGCCCTTGAAGGTGTCGAGGCCATTTTTCTCGAGATAGAAGTTGTACTAGTTGCTGTCGTGCAGGCATGCCTTGAATGGCCACCACTGTCCTGCGGCGCTCTTGACCTCGCTGATGTGTCGTCATTCCTAAAACCTCTGTCGTGGCCACACGTGGAGGAGGTGGTGGAAAATTCTCCACTCTCGTCCGAGATTCGTATCCTCCTTCGTCCTCGACTTTCATCTTCGTCGACGCCCAAGTAGCTTTTGTAAACGGAGAAACTGTAATTCGCTATCTCGACCAGAAAGACGTAGCCAGTCAAGATTCGCCATACCGAGAACCTCTGTTGCCTGTGCTGAGGTATGCTGCAGCAATCCACTGTAGCACCAGCAAGAGCGAACCTCATCATTTTGGACCGTAACATCTTCAAATAATAACCACCTTGACCTCTCCGATCCTAGCACAGACTCAGCCCGCTCTAAATGGCACTCGCCCCGATGCCACACACTCCACCTTCTTCCAGTATGTAAAAAAACCACTCGGTTTCACATTCAGACAGAGGGACCTCATGATCTGTTGCAGTCTGCATCCTCCTTCACTCACACCTCACAATGACGGTTTCCGTAATCTTAAAATCTGTGAAGATCAGAGTGTGTGAGCAACTCGCTTTAACGCGTAACACAACCTCCACAGTGTTCTCCCATAAAAACCTCTTCAAAATTCATTATCTGCGAGACTCGTGGTGTCCGATACGAACATGGAAAAATACCCCAAAAGTGTGTGATTAGATGCGATTCAAAAAAAAACAAAACCCAGAACTTATTGACTTCTTTATGCTCTTCGTTAGATGTGTGATGCTTTCCTCATCTCCCGTTGGGGTGTGATGATGTATCAAAAATACGTATCAATCCACTCTGGTTGAGCCCGTGCGCGTAGCTTTTCCCATTCTTCAGGAAAACGCGTTTTGTAATGCTCCAACAACTTTGACACATATTTGATAGTCGCTGCATTCGGCTTGTTTATTCTGCCCGACTGTTCAGGTAGACGTCTGTGCTTGCCACTGTGCCTTTCCTTCGGATTTCTGTCGCTAGCTTGATTAGACACCTTCAGCGCTTCTATCATACTCCCTAAGAAAGCTATAATCAAGTAGGTGACATGCCTCCTGTCTTCGTATTTTTAGATGTACCAAGGCATAAAGAGAAAAAAATTCATACTTGACAGAAAGTAAACTGAGCCTCTCAAACAAGATAGCTGCCATAAATGTGTGAACCCGCTCCAAAACACGAAGCATACTTGACGCTGCCACCGGAGTTGGCATCATCATCACGAGGCTAGTTGCCGCTTGTGCCGCCGCCACAGCGTTGAACTGCTCTAAATTCTCTTCAAAATACTCTTCGAGCATCGACAACAACGCCGATTTATGGGCACTTGGTTCCTGTGCGGTTCTTCTTCGAGAACTACTATCTCGTTCGTGGGTTGGAAAAATTCCCTGCCGAGGCTGATCAACTTCTACTTCTGTGGCTGAGGTTTCGCTGTCCCCACTATTTCCCCTTGCCGGCGTTCCCAAAGATCTTTTCCTACACACGTCTAGAATCTGCGCCACAGATTGCGGATCCCAATCGGCCCTCTTCGTGGCAAAGACCGCGAAGAGCAGGTCGAAGAAGGGCCTGGAGCCTGTGCGTAAACGACAATATCCATGCGCAATGTTCGCAATTTCTTTCGCAGAAGGAAAAAAAGCCGAAACTGCGCCGTCTATTTTGGGAACACCGTCCAAGGCAGAAGAACTAGATGAGGACGCTCTCCCATGCGCGCCGTTCTGACCATCGCTACCGGACTCTGTAGCCCTCATGTCAAGAAGTCGTCGCTCTATGGCATGCAAAAGGCCATAATGAAACTCGTCAAACCGCGCCAAAGCGTGGACAACCTGCACCAGATTCGCCGCGGAAGCCTCCATTACGCGCTGCCCCTCATCTTCGAGCATCCGGTTCGCCAGGACTTGTACTTTTATGAACGCGGATGATTTTACGTCTACATCTACGAGAGAAAGGAAACATAAGCATGAACATGCATAAAAATTAGTACAGCAGCTAGAAGTGAGCCGCGACATGCTACAAGATAACAAAAAATCCTCTCATAAACAGCCGTGGACTCGACCAGTTTGCTTTCGCATATGCGTTCATCGTGACGGAAATATCAGCTGCGGATGCAGAGCCTGCGACTAGAACGCTCTGAGCCAAGTGATCGAAGAGAGTTTGGTCGACCACTGTGCTCTCTTCGGTGTTGCCTGCGCCCGGCAAGTCATTCACTGGAGAATCAATCGACTCGTCACTCCTCTTTTCCTGGGATAAAGGAACTGCCTCAACTGGCTGGAGCAAGCATTGATGTTGCTGCACTGCGCGAGCAAACGAATTTAAGAGCGATGTCGCGTGATCGACAGGCATCGCTGCCTGACGTTCTCGCAAAGTTCGCGCTCCATTGCGGAAAACGGATGCTAGCGGAGACGGTGGCGCGTTTCTTTTACTAGCACGCTCAGGCGCAATTCGAGCAAAGGCGTATAAGAGAGAAACGACGTCTGTGGTGGAAAGCTTGCTGTACGTCAGACAGCCGTCAACTGACTCCAATATTGCGCGACTTAGACATGGACTCTGCTGAAGGTCTCGCGACTTTGTAAAGGCGCCCTCCACGTAGCCGAGACGAACGAAAGCGTTCACCAAATTGCAGAGGACGTAGTCGGGTAAACTTTGTAGCCGCATCGGAGATGAAAGAAATGCTGTCTGCACACTCTTGAAGAAGCGATCATGCCTGAAGCCGAGCCGTGCAAACGCGCAGCACACCGTCTGTGTGACTGCTGGTGCTAGCGTTCTTCGGTCTGCAAGAGACGCAAAATATTCACCTATCTTTTCCAAATGCTTGTGATCCTCAAGGATCTTCGCTCCACTGCTAATCGAACTACTGCTATGCGCAGCCAGCCTTGGATTTGGCGACTTGCAAGCGGCAAAAGCATCCTTTTGGAGTGGATCTGGTCCTGTGAAACCTCCAACAGGCACATTACTCCTAGACGTGCTATACCTTGTTCCATTATCGTTCTTATGAAACGTAGTCGCGGTGCTCGATGTTGATGTTCCGGTTTCGAGCTCTAGAGATTTTGTTACCACACAAAGTCGACGCGCAAGATCCTCAGGACGCCAAGCGCCATTTCCCAAAGAAACTGCAGATGCAAGGTCTCGCAGGGACCCGGTCATACTCGTGATCGTAGTGGGCGCAACCGGTGGCTGTGGGAGCGAAGACGAGCCAGTTCCAGTTGCTTGTGATGTACTTGAAGGAGAACTTGTAGCGACGCTCTGAGCATATACACCTGCTGTACTAGCACAGCGTCTGTGAACCGTAGACACAGCGATACCGCAAGGATGAGAAAAAGCAGACTTCATTTTTTGTAATTATGCCTTGACGTGGTTGCAAAAACGTCGACTCTGGAAACGACACTGCCCGGTGATCAGTGCAAAACACGGGAGCATCAAGTGATCACAAACTGCAAATCCCCAGTGGATACCTATCTGAAACAAATGGCGAACACGCCCATTCGGGTAGGAGAGACCTACATCGGTCAGTGACCGGAACTTCATGACGAAAGCAGAGTCATTTCTGCACGACGTTGTGCGCTTGCACGAATTTATGCAGACAAAGTCAACCGCCATCCTAGATTAAGTGCGGCCAAAAGTTACTGTACAACATTGTTTACAAGTCGTGGCAACGGGTTACCACTAGTGCTTTGAGCAGAAAGATAGAAAATCAACGAGCTGTACAGATCTCCTCAGTTCATAGAAGTATTTGTGTTTTTGAGTTTAATCCTTGTCTCATTCTCCCAGCAATAATGTAGTCAAACTCGAAATTTCAGCAAAACCCGTCTTTTATTATTATTTCTTATAGTAGATACTTTCAGTTATTGGGAAGACAGCCTAAGACAGTCCTCTCCTACTTCTTCTTCTTCTTTGCTCCACCCTTCTTTTTCTTCTTATCCTCCTTGGGCTTCGCAGACACAAGACTCATGTACCACAGGAATGGCTTGGCCTCGAAGCGTCTACCACGCGCCGCAACCTGCGCTTTGTCTAGATTTCTACGCAAAAGCGTCCTCCGCTCGTCCTCCGTCTCTAGTGGAGCGAAGAGCGTATGCAATTTCGAAGCTAGTGTAAAATAAGCCAGCGCTTCTTGGTTTCTCGGAAAAGGGTGTAACATCATGTACGCGGCTGCTAAGTTATTGTAGCTTGATGCAAGCTCTAAATTGCAGTCGCCGAGTGCAGCTTCTTGCGACTTCACCACTGACAGAAACAGCCTCGATGCCAGAGCGTACTCATTTTGTCGAAACAGGATCAAGGCCAGTTGCCTCTTCGCAACGAGCTCCCGTGGCTTGCTGTTCCGGTTGCGCTTCCAGGTGTGGTAAGCAAGACCCAGCGCCAAAGCGTCGAGACACATACTCACAGCAATACTCGCAAAAGTGAGATGAAAAAACAAGTCCGCATCCGCATTTCCCACAGTCTCTGTCACATTTGGGCCAGCTGCTGTGTCGATCAAATCACGCAGACAACTGGGAACATCAAACGCCTCCGAATATTGCGGTTCACGATAGGGACAGGCTTTATCTGCATGAAAGAAAGAAAGGAATGGCTGAAGAAACGACATGCCATTTCTCTCGTTCTGAAAAAGTGAAACCATAGGAAGACAGCAGCTCAGTTCTAAACATAGGAATATCAAACTCAGTTCTAAACATGGTACTACACGACTTTTCACCTTGATGAATACCCGGTCCCGGCCTCAGCGTGCCACGGTATATTCGAAAGGCCTTCCACAAACTGAAGAATGCCGCATGTAGGTTGTTGCGATTACGATACTGAAACCCTGCACCGCAAAAAGAGAGACAGTCTTGCGAGAGGCCTCCACCAGCGACGCCACTACTTGCATCTGACGGTGTGGGCCTGTCTTCAGACGGCGCAAGCTTGCCACCGCCATCTTCCCCTGACACAAAAATGCTGGTGCTGGGTGCCGCGACGAACGGAAAAGGCACTGGTTCCTCAATGAGGACAGGCCTGAGAAGCCAGTTAGACGCATAGTCGTGGCGGATCTTTGCACGCGAAGGTTCTACGCGATTGTACCCACGAGGAAAAAAGTCCATCCTTGCCGGTATATTCGGCGATGGCTTCACAGGCCTCTTATTCATCCAGACTATCGTACCGGGATCGACTTTTGGAAAATTCGTCGCGCCTGCGTCATCACCGCCCTTTTTCTTCTTCTTCTTTTTCCCCTTCTTAGCTCCACCCTTAGGCTTAGGAGCATGGATCTTTGCAATCACCTCCTCAATCGGCATCGGCTGTATCGGCATCTTCTGCAGCTCTTCTTCGCTGAAAATAGAACCGGGGTGTGGACCTATGTATGAAACAACATGTGGATTCATTCAGTAATGAGCGTGCTTCGATTGCGATTCATTTCACACCATTCGGTATCCATTACACCTTCTCCAGGTCGTTTCTCAAGGATAAAAAGAAAAAGCACTAGCCACTTTTGCGTTAAATGTAGTACCGATGCCCCTATTAACTGGCGGTGGCAAGGTCTCGAAAAGATTTGCTGCTTCGATCAGGACCAGCGCCGCTCTTTCCTCATCTTCGAGTTTCTCGTTTTCGCGCAGTTTACGGAGAAAAGGCAATCGCCTGCCGTCGTAGTCCACATTCTTAGGAATGCGCAGGCGGTGGAAAACATCTTCCACAGACAGAGTTTCGTCCTCGCAGGACAGAATCAGCGCTAGAAACACTTCTACAAACTGCGAAAAGTCGTAGTTCTCCTCTCCATATTCGCGCACAATCTGCAGAAACGTATCATGCGTCACCACGGAAGGGAGTAGCCCGATGTCGACGCACAGCCGCTCGAGATTCTCCGCAGATACGAAAGCTACGGGTGCGTCAGCGTCGACATAGTCATCGTCTTCGAGCAACCCGCGGCTACCCCTTCTACTGAGGCCTCCTGCTGCTCCTGCTTTATTCTTGAAGCCTTTGCCCCCACCCGCGGCACCGTCTCGGGATGCCGCGCCAATGCATGAACTTGAGGCCATTGTAAGAATACTTTCGGTACTATGTTGCTATCGCAAAAGCATCATGACTTATTAATTCATGTGACAACAAGTAAAAATGGAAAGTCATAACATACGGTAATTCACCACCGGTCACCATAAAAGCGTCTCACTTGGCTTCGTATGTATTTTCTGATAGTGTGCGAAGATCGATGCCAGTGCGACACCTCGTTCGTATGCAGAATCCACAATGTCGATTTCGAAGATCGGCGCGAAGAATCTTCGCATTTGATCTCGCGCCCGCCGTTCCTCGTCTGAGTTCCGATAGGTAGGCGCTGCTAGCGCCAAATCGTTAACGAACTGCTCCGTCATCCAATCGTTGTCCTCAGCTATGCCCAAGGCGTCGTCCATCGACTTACCGCCACCGCCATCGTCCGCCGCATCTTGGCTAGCCGCTCGGGCCCCATCAGCGCCAGCGCCCGAACGCGTGGCATAGACAAGCGCTGCGACCTTCTCAATCAGGGTCGGGAACAAGGATGCTTAGATACTTTAGCCAATCGAAAGTCAGAGAGACTCGTGCTCCAAATCCTTACTGACGAAAACTATGTACTAGTCCTCGAAATGAACCCTTCCTCCATCAAGCCATAATATTCTTCGATCACCAAACTTTCCCCAGTCTCTTCGTCGAAATCCGCAAAATTTTCGAGCTCTGCCCACAATTCCACGATATCCGTGTGGTCTAAAGAGTGGGCGTCAAAGACCTGATACCATCTGAGCATACAGCATAAGTCCGTAAACGACACGGACACAGGCGTGCTTGTGGGATCCGCCCACTCGTGAAAAAGCTCTGTCAATGCGGCGTCCATTTTGATAATAGCAGCTTCGGCTACTTCCTTCTCCTTGTTGTTGGACCAGCACGAATTAAAGATTTAGAGTAGTATGCGGCATATTCTTTCCATCCTTGTTGTAGACAGCAGCACGTGAGCCCTGAATAACGACAGTAAAGTTTTGTGTGCCTCCAAGAACTATGCGCGTTTTATTCCTGGAAAGGACACAAATGCGAGCAATAGTGTTGTTTCTCGTGAATGCAATTTCAAGGCGGGCAGAATTTACGTATTGAAGTCCACCGGTAGGGCATTTCTACTCGTCTTCCCTCTGGGTTAGCGTACACTCCTCGTGCAAGAAAATGCGCAAGAAAGTCGCAAAACCGTTATCGAAAATTTCTGCTGCGGAGGTAAGCGAAAACAGACGGAGAGGATGAGGATCCTCAACTTCTATGATTATGCTTTGGAGAAATGAAAAAAACAAATAAACCATCATATCAGCAAGAGTTTCTCGCCTGGAATTCACACCAATTGTATTGATCAACATTTGATGAATTTTAGTATCTCGTGAAAATGTTCTTTCTCCATGTCTAAGTCCAAAATTGTGAAGATGCTTACATCCCGACTAGTAGTACCCGTGTAACAGCATGATCTCATGGAAAGGGTCCTCATTATGATACTATTTTCCGTTCTATTCCGGTGAAACTCGAGCAATATGATATCTACTGCAACCTGCTGATCCCTGCCCAAAATGGTTCGAAATGGGTCACTGCACAACACCAAAAGTAATGAATTAGAACAACAGCAAGATACTATATTATGGAAAAACATCGTCAAAATACAAGTCTCAGTTATTATAAGTTGATAGTGGTCAAACATTGGAAAAAAAAAATTATTAAGCTATATCATTACGCTACACTATTAACCACCCCACTGGTCACCGCCACAAAACTCCGCCCCTACCCCGCCGGAGGTTAGTCAGCTTCTTCCGCGAGGCTATTGCCAATAGCCTCCGTCCCTCTCCCCTCAATCTCAAAGCCCGAGACATAGTCTCCGACCGTTTTCGCCTTGGCGTTTACGTTGCGGCCCCGTGGCCGGAAACGGAAAAAGAAGCCAGAAAAATGCCCGGCGGGGGTAGGGGCGCAAGCTGTGGAGAGAAGTCCGAACCCGAAGCGAAGCAGTTGACGAAAGACCCCCGGCAAAAGACCTCGGACGAGAGACCTTCGACGCGAGACCTCTGACGCGAGACCTTTGACCCGAAACCTTCGACACGAGACCTTTGACCCGAGACCTTCGACGCGAGACCCTGGACAAAACAAAGACCTTGGACAAAAAAAAGACCTTGGACAAAACAAGGACCTTGGACAAAGCAAAGACCTTGGACAAATCAAAGACCTTGGACAAAAGAAAGACCTTGGACAAAGCAAAGACCTTGGACAAAGCAAAGACCCTGGACAAAGCAAAGACCCTGGACAAAGCAAAGACCGTGGACAAAGCAAAGACCTTGGACAAAGCAAAGACCCTGGACAAAGCAAAGACCTTTGCCAAAGGGCCCAAACCGCTGGCAGAAGACCTTTGACAAGAGACCTCTAGCAAGAGACCGCTGACAAGAGACCTCTGACGGGAGACCTCTGACAAGAGACCTCTGACAGGAGACCTCTGACAAGAGACCTCTGACAAGAGACCCGCGACGAAAGACATCCGAAGGCAGACCTTTGCCAGAAAAACAGACGAAAGGCCTGCGCGCTGCCTGCGCAAGGCCCTAAAAATATGGCAAAAATATAGAAGGCGTTTTGTATTCTCCTTTGTCCGTTTTTCGTGGGAAGGAGAACCCACAAGTTTCGGAATCTGGCCCGTTAGCCGTGAGATATGAGGCATCTGCGTCCCCGCTTTCTGTGGGAGCCCAGGAATTGCGGACAATTTGGAGCCCCCGCGTGTGCTAACTCGTGGGAACCCACGAATTCCGGACAATTGATACTCTCAGCGCGTCACTTGTCAGACGGCGTCCACCCGTTAGCCGTGAGGTGCGAGGCATCTGCGTCCGCTTTTTGTGGGAACCCACGAATTGCAGACAATTTGGGGCCTCCGCGTGTGCTAACTCGTGGGAACCCACCAATTCCGGGCAATTGATACATACTCTCAGCGCGTCACCTTGAGAGTGATGACGTCCACCCCTTGGCCAGGAGATGCGAGGCATCTGCGTCCGCTTTACGTGGGAACCCGTGAAAAGCGGACCGCGCTGCGCGTTATGCTTGTGGTCCTAACGAACACGAAGACGCCCACGCCACCCGCGAGCCGCGAGGCATCTGCTGCTGCTTCTGGTGTTGTCTCTAGTGAAGGGAGTGGCTTGGGCCGGCGTCCGCTTTTCGTGGGAACCCATGAGAAAATGGCTGCGGGGTTCGCTATGCTCGTGGCCGTCGTCCGTGGGGAAGACGTTTCCCACGAGGCGCGCGGCGTCTCTATGTCTCAGCCTATCGCTATCTGGCATCTGCTGGCGCCGTCAGCTCTAGCGGAGGGGGGCGCTTGGCTGGGAGTCCGTTTTTCGTGGGAACCCACGAAAAGCGGACCGCGTTGCGCTTTATGCTTGTGGTCGTCTTGATGAAGATGCTACCCGTGAGGTGTGAGGTATCTGCTGGCGGCATCGTCTCGAGTGAAGGGCATGGCTTGGCCTGGCGTCCGCTTTTCGTGGGAACCCGTGAAGAGCGGACCGCGCTGCGCTTTATGCTTGTGGCCGTCCTAATGAGGAAGAAGTCGCTACCCGCGAGGCGTGAGGCATCTGCTGGCGGCGTCGTCTCTAGTGAAGGGAGTGGCTTGGACCACCGTCCGCTTTTCGTGGGAACCCACGAGAAAATGGCCGCGAGTTGTGGGTCGTGTTGTTCATTATGCTCGTGGTCGTCGTGGGGAAGACGTTTCCCACGAGGCGCGAGGCATCTGGCATCTGCTGGCGGCGCCAGCTCTAGCGGAGGGGAGCGCTTGGCCAGGAGTCCGCTTTTCGTGGGAACCCACGAAAAGCGGACCGCGTTGCGCTTTATGCTTGTGGTCGTCTTGATGAAGATGCTCCACACAAGTGAGGCGCGCGGTATCAATCTGCTGGCGCCATCGTCTCAGGAGAAGGGCACGGCTTGGCCCGGCGTCCGTTTTTCGTGGGAACCCGTGAAAAGCGGACCGCGCTGCGCTTTATGCTTGTGGTCATCCTAATGAAGAAGAAGACGCTACCCGCGAGGCGTGGGGTATCTGCTGGCGGTGTCGTCTCTAGTGAAGGGAGTGGCTTGGACCAGCGTCCGCTTTTCGTGGGAGCCCACGAGAAATGGCAGTCACTTGTGGGTCATGTTGTTCGTTAATTATGCTCGTGGTCGTCGTGGGGAAGACGTCCCCCACGAGGCGCGAGGTATCTGGCGATGGCATCTGCCGGCGGCGCCAGCTCTAGCGGGGGGGAGCGCTTGGCCAGGGGTCCGCTCTCCGTGGACCCACGAAAAGCGGACCGCGTTGCGCTTTATGCTTGTGGCCGTCTTGGTGAAGGTGCTACAAGTGAGGCGCGAGGTATCTGCTGGCGGCATCGTCTCGAGCAAAGGGCAGGCATGGCTTGGCCCTGCGTCAGTCCGTTCTTCGTGGGAGCGAACCCGCGAAAAGCGGACCGCGCTACGCTTTATGCTTGTGGCCGTCCTAATGAAGAAGAAGACGCTACCCGCGAGGCGTGAGGTATCTGCTGGCGGTGTCGTCTCTAGTGAAGGGAGAGAGTGGCTTGGACCAGCGTCCGCCTTTCCCTTTCGTGAGAACCCACGAGAAAATGGCTGCGGCTTGTGATTCATGTCGCTCATGCGTTATGCTCGTGGTCGTCGTGGGGGAGACGTTTCCCACGAGGCGCGAGGCGTCTGGCATCTGCTGGCGGCGCCAGCTCTAGCGGAGGGGAGCGCTTGGCCGGGAGTCAGTTTCTCGCGGGAACCCACGAAAAGCGGACCGCGTTCCGCTTTATGCTTGTGGCTGTCTTGATGAAGGTGCTACAAGTGAGGCGCGAGGTATGTAAGTATCTGCTGGCAGCATCGTCTCGAGTAGAGGGCATGGCTTGGCCCGGCGTCCGTTTTTCGTGGGAACCCGTGAAAAGCGGACCGCGCTGCGCTTTATGCTTGTGGCCGTCCTAATGAAGAAGAAGACGCTACCCGCGAGGCGTGAGGTATCTGCTTCTGCTGGCGGTGTCGTCTCTAGTGAAGGGAGTCGCTTGGACCGGCGTCCGCTTTTCATCAGAACCCCCGAGTAAATGGCTGCGACTTGTGGGCCGTGTTGTTCGTTATGCTCGAAGTCGTCGCGGGGAAGACGTTTCCCACGAGGCGCGAGGTATCTGGCATCTGCTGGCGGCGCCAGCTCTAGCGGATGGGAGCGCTGTGCTGGGAGTCAGACAGTCCGCCTTTCGTGAGAACCCACGAAAAGCGGACCGCGTTGCACATTATACCTGCGGCCGTCTTGATGAAGGTGCTACAGGTGAGGCGTGCGGTATCTGCTGGCGGCATCGTCTCGAGTGAAGAGCACGGCTTGGCCCGGCCGGCGTCCGTTTTTCGTGGGAACCCGTGAAAAGCGGACCGCGCTGCGCTTTATGCTTGTGGCCGTCCTAATGAAGGCGAAGACGCTACCCGCGAGGCGTGGGATATCTGCTGGCGGTGTCGTCTCTAGTGAAGGGAGCGGCTTGGACCGGCGTCCGCTTTTCATGGTGGGAACCCACGAGACAGTGGCTGTGGCTTGTGGGTCGTGTTGTTCGTTATGCTCGTGGTCGTCGTGGGGAAGACGTTTCCCACGAGGCACGAGGCGTCTGGCATCTGCTGGCGGCGCCAGCTCTAGCGGAGGGGAGCGCTTGGCCAGGAGTCCGCTTCTCGTGGGAACCCACGAAAAGCGGACCGCGTTGCGCTTTATGCTTGTGGTCGTCTTGATGAAGATGCTACAAGTGGGGCGCGGGGTATCTGCTGGCGGCATCGTCTCGAGTAAAGTAAGCGCATGGCTTGGCCCGGCGTCCGTTTTTCGTGGGAACCCGTGAAAAGCGGACCGCGCTGCGCTTTATGCTTGCGGCCGTCCTAATGAAGAAGAAGACACCACCCGCGAGGCGTGCGGTACCTATCTGCTGGCGGTGTCGTCTCTAGTGAAAGGAGTGGCTTGGACCGGCGTCCGCTTTTCGTGGGAACCCACGAGAAATGGCTGCGACTTGTGGGCCGTGTTGTTCGTTATGCTCGTGGTCGTCGTGAGGCAGACGCTTCCCACGAGGCGCGAGGTATCTGGCATCTGCTGGCGGCGCCAGCTCTAGCGGAGGGGAGCGCTTGGCCGGGAGTCCGTTTCTCATGGGAACCCGCGAAAAGCGGACCGCGCTGCGCTTTATGCTTGTGGTTGTGGTCGTCTTGGTGAAGATGCTACAAGTGAGGCGCAAGGTATCTACTGGCGGCGGCGGCATCGTCCCGAGTGAAGGGCATGGCTTGGCTCAGCGTCCGTTCTTCGTGGGAACCCGTGAAAAGTGGACCGCGTTGCGCTTTATGCTTGTGACCGTCCTAATGAAGAAGAAGACGCTACCCGCGAGGCGTGGGGCATCTGCTGGCGGTGTCGTCTCTAGTGAAGGGAGTGGCTTGGACCGGCGTCCGCTTTTCGTGGGAACCCACGAGAAAACGGCTGGGGCTTGTGAGTCATGTTGTTCGTTATGCTCGTGGCCGTCGTGAGGAAGACGCTTCCCACGAGGCGCGAGGCATCTGGAATCTGCTGGCGGCGCCAGCTCTAGCGGAGGGGGGCGCTTGGCTGGGAGTCAGTCCGCTTCTCGTGGGAACCCACGAAAAGCGGACCGCGTTGCGCTTCATGCTTGTGGCCGTCTTGCTGAAGGTGTTACAAGTGAGGCGCGGGGTATCTGCTGG